AAAGAAGATATCAATAATAACGATGCATAAAAATTGCAGATTAATTTCAAAGTATGGGTGATTTTAAATCTTGAAAACATTTTCAAAAAAACTATAATTTAATATGTAACTAAAATACAATAGTATGTGTTTTGCCAAAGCAAACAAAAGCAAGTTCTTATGTACGTCAGTTGCATTTAAGAATATATAACTACAATCGTTACACAAATACAATAAATATCCAAACCTCTTTACATGACTCATCCTACGCATTTTCGAGGTCATATTATTCTTACGGCCTGGATAGAATTTCTATTAAAAGTTTATTATGCTGGATATGAAGGTTTATATATTCAGGACGAAACATGAGTATTGAGTTGAATTTGTGATTTTTTATGGAAATTTTTCTATGTAATTTATTCCCATAGTAGTTTGTTTTTAAAACAGTATTTATTCCGTTATTATAAATAAAATGACAAAATATAATATTTTGCACATATGCTTATTTTTTTAAATACTTTTTTTAATATTACTTTTTTATATTACATCTTATAATTTTTTATTATTTACTTTTTGCCTTTAGGGGGTTGCATTCTGTCCAGCAGAAGATATAAGGAAATAGTTAACAACTGAGCGTTAGAGGGAGGAAGGATATGAATTTCTGTAAATTATACTTAACAGTACATATTAAAATATAAATTAATACATATCTCCACTGCAAAAGAACAGCATTGCTGTAAATCTTTAATAAGACAAAAATGGTAAAAAGTAAGAAGCAGCTTAAGGTGAATTTATATAGAAAACTAACTTTTAGTAAAAGGATATGATATAGAAACTTTTTTTTTTTTTAAAAAAAAGGACAACTATTAAATCATCATTGGCATGGATTCTGTATGGTTAGTCTCTGTGGCTTGCCTGTTTCAGAATATGAGCTAATGTCAGAAATGTGGATTCAACCTGATACTTTGAAGAAACTTATTATGGAAATGATCATGAAAATTTTATCACAAATGAAATCATGATGCTTAGGAATACGCCCCACCCCATGAGCTAAAAATGTCTTATAACTAGTCTGAAGACAGTATGAGAATTAGTTAATAATATGCAGGGGAAAATATTTTTAAAGCTGAAATGTAGTCAAAGTCATAGGTAAGGTTTCCAGTGCCCAAGCTGAGTGTCGCACCCCCTTTTGTTGCAAAGAACGGAAATATTATAATTTTAAATTTCCGTACCAATTCAGTTGGCTTCCCCTTGAGGAGGGACAGATGCCCCATCCAGTGGCCAAGGGAAGATGTCCCCCCTCACTCCCTCTAGCTATGCCCCAGGAGAGGGTAAACAATGAAAAGAATGTGACATGTGAACAAATGATTATTAAATTAAGGTGACCAGTTGTCCTCCTTTGGTAGGCTCTGTCCTTCTTCAAGAAGTGTCATCCCAACTATCTCTGTTCAATATGTTACCACTAATCTTTTATCTCTGTATTAGTTAAAGATGCTCCTTCGGAAAAAATGTTACACGTCAATCTATGTGATGGTGCAGTTCGAAAAAACATAATTATTAAAAAGCAACAGACGCTGCTGGGCAATCAAACATCACGCAGCCACTTTTGCGCACTTTACTGTGTTATTTTAAGGTGTTATAAATTATAGTTTGCATTTACATCGATGCAACTACGAATTTCCTTTCAATGTATAATTATTATACTCTCGAGTTAATAATTGATGACAATATACTTGCAAAAAAGACTGAAAAATGCAGCATCGTAACGGTTTATCAGAGGCATCAAAATCATAATGAAAACAAAATTGGATCCAATACTAGTAAGCTCTGATAAGTGTTAAAAAGGGAACGCACATAAAAAAATTTTTAAATTAAAGTCTATTAAGGGGCGAAAACAGTTGAATTTTGGGGAACCATCTATAAGAGTAATAAATGAAAAACAATGTGAAATATAAAGTGTTGCACTAACAGCAGATAATAAAAATCCAAAGTTTGTGGGGGCGAATATGCAAAAAAGGAGTAAATAATGTGTATAAAAATTACCAGAATTTACTCTAAAAGCAAAACAATAGGCATAGTTGTAATCACATATTTTGTCAATGCAATAAACACGAATATCATCTGCCGATGCCAATTGATGTAGAAATAATAATAACAATTATTTGTATGTAGTCATTTTACGGTTCGTGTGCCTGCTCTGCTTAAAAAAAATTTTGTGAAGACGCAAATGTCTGCTTTGTTTGCTTTTTTTCTCTTTTTCATTGTAAAAAGAAAAAGGGTCACCTTCATTAAATCATTTTCTTATAATAGAAATGTGTCCTTTTTAAAATCCTACATTCTTAAGAAATATAAAACATAAATAAAGAAACCAATCATATGATGATCCATAGATTATGTATATAGAAGTACATGTATATCGGTGTAAAAAAATGAGTCCATGGAAAAGGTAAAGAGATGTCGTGAAAATGTAAAGTGAGTTGTGAAATATATGGTTGTGCAACTGAATAGGAGACAGGTGAGAGACCACTTATTAATATCTAATTATTTGAATCTATAAAGATCACTATGTCTCTAATTAGGGACCAAATGGGTCGAAAAGTTAAAAATTTGTTTATACTTTTGACTATGTTTTTAAGCTAATATACATAGCTGTTAAGATTGATACCGAGATTACTTCTTATTAAAATGTTGGTTTCATTATTTTCCTCGTACATCATAATGGTCCTAATTTCTGCAGGCATTATATAAAATAAATGTTGCACCATACTCGCTTTCCAACTTTCTTCATAAACAGTGAAAGATGTGAAAAAGAAAAAATTCTTTAACAGAAACAATTAATTTACATAAGCGCAAAAACAAAGTGTAGTTTAAAAGTAGTAATAAGCAATAAAATTGTATCCAAAATTATCTAATATTCTTGGCATTCAAAAGTCTAGTTTTCAGTGCATTTTAAATTTCTCTAGTCACTGCCGATTACGCCCCTAATTTTGTAAATAACAGATAAATCAATTGATATCTAGCCACTACTTACAGTCTTTACTGTTATTTCAAAGAAAATATAATCTATACTTTTGCAAATATGCAGTTTTACGATTGTAAGGACAAATAGACAAATAGTGTAGAAATCAAACGGAGTATCTGCATTGATGAATCTGAAATAATTGTGCATATATATAAAAATAAATCTGTAAACCTGAAAATATATATGTGGACAGGTTTCTTTACATAACCAATTTTTTTTGACCCAAATATTCATTTTGATTAATTTCCAAGGTTGCAATCTAAAACAATTTTATTCATTACATAATATATAAAAAACAAAATATTGAGAAAATGAAAGGAATAATAATGCCTTCCTTAATCGTATAGGGAAAATACGTTTTTCATTACAATGTCAGGTTTTGTACATAATACAGTGAGCAATTCAACACAAGATAACCAGAGCGTAAGGTTCGAGAAAAACTGCGTAGCAAAACAATACATTATACGTTTTTTAATATTTCAAGATTACTCCCACTGGACAATAAAAAGTAATATAATAAAACGTATCTCTCCATAAGTCAATAATTAAATAATAATAAGTTATCTCTCCATTAAATAGAAAATAAATCTAACCACAGATTTAAATCTGAAAATTTCATGCATTTTAAAAACTACTGCACACTCCAAATATTATATACATATATCCAGAAATATATACAGTCAAAGTCTTTAATCCGGACTCGTCGGGACTTCGGCGATTCCGGATTATAGATCATCAGTTTAAATCTGGTAAGATGGCATGCAGAAATTATAAAATTAAAAATATGAAACCGTAATTTATGAAATAAAGAACAATTATGATCTAAAGGGTATCAAAATTTACAAAAAAAAAAAAAAAAAAAGCTTAATATTTATTTGTTTACTTTATTAAACATTTCTTTCAATGTAAGTTGTTTAAGTTGCTTCGTTTTTTATGTGATAATACATTCTCTTTAATTCTATAAACAGACATAATTTCTTGTTCAGTTACAAAGTTCCGCTGTTCAAAGTCCTATAATTGCTGTGTCGAGAATACCGACTAATTTGTCAATCGAAATTTTTTCGTTTTCAATAACCTCTGTCACTTTCTTCGCTATCGGAAGCGAATTATAATGACGAGGAATTTGATTTAAATCATATCAAGAGAGTACATCGATGAAATACTACATTTAGTAAGGAATTATAAGCCAAATAAAATAAAAACATCTGCCCTGAAGATAAGGATAGTGCTGACAGATCAACTTCCAATTCATTGCGCCCGCAGCGTTAAATTAAATAAACGTTAGAAGTTTAGATAAACAAAGGATATGCCTTTATCCATTTTTTGCAGCAATTCCACTTTTTGTTTAATGGACTTCGAAACATACTTTCGCTTTGTAGATCCTTTACATATTAGTAAATATATATCGGAAATTCTATTTGACATAATCGAAAGTTCAAAGCTTACTTTTATAAAATTGCTCTAACAGTCTGCAAAAAATAATAAGCCGGATCCAATTCGAAGATTAAGGAACACGCAATCTGCAACATTAACTGAATTAGATAATTTTAGCTTAGCTTATACCGTCCGTTATACATTAAACGCGCATTGCGTAAACGTATTATGCGCATGCCACAGCATATTCGCAGCCGTAAAGGTCTTACGCGCATGCATCAACGCGCAAAAGTTTGTAGCTTTGAGGTCCGGATTATAGATCATTCCGGATTACGGATGTCGAATTATTAACGCTTTGGACTTAATAATTGCGCATTGCCCTAAATTCCACACGACAAACAACAGAAGCCTTATTTACATTTTGCAGCTGAAATCTGATGATGATATAAATATTGTTCATTTAAGAATTTGAAAGAATTAACAATCCACTACCACTGCCTCGCAATAAATATAACTGGATCAAAACCCTGGCTGCTTTTGAACAATGCACTTGGCTTCAAAATTTATTCTGGTAACCTTAAGTTGCTATAGCGATTTCGAAAGACATCATGGCAAAAAGTACATATTTTCGGTAAACTTCCGGGTTCAGGGTCTCAGTTATCTGTAAAATTCCAGGCAAGCGTGAAAATAATCAGACAACCAGCTGTTCCGACGAAGTAAACAAAACGCAGCTCCAATTTTTAAAAAAACGTGGCGACATTTTTTAGGTATAAGAGTTAGTATTTCAATTAAATGGTTTCCTTCGTTTAATCTTGTAACAGAAAAAAATCTATTAAGTTACGTAGTAATCAACGATTCCATTTCCATCCGGATGGTGTTTAAATGCATTATCTTTGACCAGTTAAAGCTGACTGTCATATTTTGCTTAGGAATGTAAGCTAACAATGCCGAAATTTATGCGTCGAAATTTTAGGAATCTATGGTGTATTACTTCATTGGTATGACCATTCTTCTGTAAATAATTATAAAATGCTCATTTTGTTTAACCATATGTCGATATGGAAGAAAGAATTTCTGAAGGATTGTTTGCTGTAAAAAACTTGGAAAAAGTCTCACTGAAATTCTGAGCTCGATAAGAGGGTTTTAATGCTATTGAAGGGGAGCTCAGTAATAGTTACTTCATGACTAAGATGTGTCATTTTATTATTAAAATTTAAAGATATTAACAGAGCTAAATTATTGTTTAAGAATAATTAAAAATTAGCTATATATATCGTTATATAAATAAACAAATTGTTGATTTTTTTTTTTTTTTGATAATTTATCCATGTGGTTATCGTTAGAACATATTAAAGTATTTACTAATGAAGAGTGAGCAGTGTAGTAAAAAAAAAAAATTTTATGAATTTTTTTTTTAAAAAAAAAAATCTGGCATATTGCAATTAGACTTTAAATGTCATTTTAATAGATTAAATTGAAATTGTTTTTGTCTATTATTGGTTTCATTAGTTGCTTGAATTCCTGATTTAAAATTTCATGTATTTAATGATTACTAATTTATAATTTAGTTTTTTTCTCCCTTATGGGTGTTATTTCTGTATGAATTAAGGGAAATAAATTAAGAGAAATGTAATATTAAAGTTATCCTTTTTAGGTTTCATCCATCTGAAATACAATGGATATAAGTTCACCTGCTAATGAAGGACAAGTTAAAAGTCATTTATATGCCTCTGCATCAGAAATTATACAATCAGACACAAATAAGAAAGTAGGAGTGGATGAAAAAAAGTGTTGGTATTTTCATAGCATTTTCCATTAATATATAATTTTTGAATTTTTAATGTAGCCTTTATCAAAAATATTAATTTAATTAGTTCTTTTCCTACAATGTTTGTGGTTTTTTAATTTTAAGAATTATTGAATTTGATTTTTTAACATTACATTTTTGTTCACATGGGCATACAGTAATATTAATAACAAAAATGCAAATTTTTTTATGAATATTTTATTGGTTACTGACTTTCTTTTGGGGTTATTCATTAATAGTTCAAAACAGCAACTCAAACTTTATTCATTGAAACTCGGTTGATTTATTACCAATCGAGGAATCATGGCATTTTCATTTAAATATCCAGCTTGTTCTGTCTTAATACAGTCAAAAGTCTTTAATCCGGACACGTCGGGACTTCGACGATTCCCGATTATAGATCATCAGTTTAAATCTGGTAAGATGGCATGCAGAAATTATAAAATTAAAAATATGAAGCCGTAATTTATGAAAAAGAGCATTTATGATTAAGGGATCAAATTTACAAAAAAAAAAAAAAAAAAAAAAAAAAAGCTAATCTTTATTTGTTTACTTTTTAAACATTTCTTTCAACGCACACATGTGTAGCTTACAATTGAATTAGAAAATTGCAACCAAAAACTATTTGATGTGTATTATGAATTTTAAATGACGAGGAATTGATTTAAATCTATCAAATAAGGAGTACATCGCGATGAAAATCTACATTTATAAGGCATTACAAGCCGAAAAATAAAAACATTGCCCGAAGATAGGATAGTGCTGACGATCAACTTCCATCGTGCGTGCCGTTACCCCCCCTTCCCGCAGAGCATCGTGAAATGATAAACAATGTGGAATGGTTAGACTTTATCCATTTTTTGCAGCAATTTCACTTTTTGTTTGATGGACATCAAAACATACTTTCGCTTTGTAGATCCTTTGTACTCACATTGAAAATTCTTTTTGACATAATCAAGTTCAAGCTTACTTTATTAAAATTGCTCTAACAGTCTGCAAAAATTAATAAGCTGGATCCAATTAGAAGATTAAGGAACAATGCAATCTGCAGCATTAACTGAAATAGATAATTAGATCATTTTAGCTTAACTTATACCATCTGTTTGACGTTAAACGCGCATGCACAAACGTATTATGCGCATGCGTAAAGGTATTATGCTCATTCATGCGTTGACGCATGCACAGAAAGTTTGTATCTTTGACATCTGGATTATAGAACATTCCAGATTATAGACATCCGGATTAAAGACTTTTGACTGTACTTTTTTGTTTCTTTTAGCAATCATATGTTTGTTATTTTTAGTATGTATGAATTTGAAGATTGCCTGCGAATTCCTGAATTTGACTGGAATTTTTTGTAATGAGAAAATCATATATTATTCAGAAATACGTTATATGCATTTTCTTAATTAATGAGCTATGAAAGATCAGAAAGGGGGGGGAGTTGCATTTATAAATATGTACTCAAAAATAGTCAATAGTTAGCATTTACAGTTGGCAAACAGTGTTAGTTTCTGATGAAAGCACAGTAATTTTTCTAGGTTCCTCCACGAAAAATCCTAATAACCACACTATTTTTTATGTAGCCCTTATTATTTTTTAACAAGTTATATCCTGACTAATGAAGACTGGTGAAGCCATCTTTTGGAAACCAAATAAAAGTTTCATCATAAAGAAATTTTGGTTGATCTTTACAATATGGTAACTGGTAGTTTGGCGACATTTTGGAGGCAATAAAGGTTACTACCTGGCACTTTGGTAATAATGTGAGCGTACTCATTCCGATACGCATTATTTTGTGTGAGGGAAATGAGAGATCATGGGATATGTCATGTTATATTAATGACGATACGGTTCTTTATCGGAAAAGGGGGGAAAAAATCTGAAATTTTGTATTGGGCTTATTCTGTGTTGTGTGAAACGTTCGTGAATTTTGGATCCCATTGCCGTAACTAAAGTGAATTCGAAATGGGTATTTATGTATTATTAATGAATGTATGTGCTCATTATATTTTAAGTAGTGTTTTGAATTTAATATATTTTAATTAAAGATAGTTATTTTTGAATTTTTTTTGTAGGAATTTGGTAACGTTAGTTGAAGTAAACGTCATGGAAATAATTTAAATATTGACACTAAGTATTTGTAATGGTTGCGGTATGAATTCGTTGGTGACGTGTATATGTAATGATGATTTAGAGGTACAAGTTTGGAATTTTATTTATTTCATAGTGGATTGTTCATATTTGGAAAGGGAAATACTTTTCGCATCTGTAATTCATATGTTTTTTTACCGGTTTAAAGATGAGAAATTGTCATGTATTTTCATGAAATTTTCAATTTTGAGAAAAAAGCGTGTCACATGGATATAGTGAAGAGTGGGCGCATGCCATTTTTGTTGCATTTCTGGGATTTTTTTTAAGTAAAATAGTCGGTGGTCTGGTTTATGTGTATGTTTATTTTGAAAAACGGAGATAGGTATTGTGCCTTCTTTCCCAATTTTGCAGTGAATATTTGTCATGATTAAGCAGTTTTTTAGTAAAATTTCTAGCATAAGTGTAATTCGGCTAGTAATTGTTGGAAGAAGTGTTCAGTAGATAAAAAAAAAAAAACTTTCTTTTTACTTCGTGAAGACAAAATGGCGGGCGGGGAAAAAAATAGAGGGTTGCTGTAGGAGAGTTGGTCGCCAATTTCGCCAAAAAAACGCCAAGTTCCCATAATTAAAGATCAACCGAAAGGTAATAAATAAATAATATATTAAAGAAATTTGGCTGATCTTTGGAATATGGAATGTAGTTGGCGAATTTGAAGCGATAAGGTACTACCTAGGACTTTGTAATAAGTGAGCGTACTCAGTTTCCGATTAGCATATTTTGTGTGAGAGAAGAGATAATGAGATATGTCATGTGATATTAATGACGATTACAGTTCTTTAATCGGAAAAGGGGGGGAGGATTTGGAAAAATATCTGTGGCAGTATTTATTTGTATTAGCTTTTGTGTGTTGTGTGAAGTGTTAAATTTCGGATTGTATGGCGCTGCTAATTCTTTTAAAGATCCGGAAACAGTGCACATACCATACAATAGGGGCACGGGGAGTGCTATAAAAAGCACATTCCGAGGCATTGGATAAGAGAATTTTGCTTTTTATTTAGCGAGGAAGTGTGGAGGAAAATTCGCAGAAAAATCGTTCAATATATTATTGAATCAATAATAAAGTGTATCCACATGTAAGCAAGATTCTGAAGAAGTAGGAAGTTATATTTTTATTATTTGAGGATATTTTTATGCATTGTTCTAAATGTACGTTTAAAGTAATTGGTATATTGGAAATTGTTATAGCAAGGATTTAGTTTAGTATTAGGATTGTAAGCTATTTTTTTTCATGTTGTGCTTTTTATATTGTAGTAGTTTTTTTGAATTTAATTTTTAATTAAATGATAGTTTTTGTGTGAATATATGTTGTAGAATTTGATATACGTTAGAGTGAAGTAAACGTTCTGGAAATAATTTAAATATTGACACTAAGATTTGTAACCATTTGTAATTGCGGTATAATTAGTTGGTGACGTTTGTAATATAATAGATAATGTAGAGGTAAAAGTTTTGGATATTTTATTTATTTATACGTGGAATGTTCATATTTGGCAAAGGTGTAAACTTTTCGATCAGGTAATTTCATATGTGTTTTTTTACCGGTTTAAAGATTCAAAATTGTCATGTATTTTAATGAAATGTTTCAATTATGAGAAAAAAGCGGTACGATATATTGAAGAGTGTGCGCATCCATTTTTGTGCGTTCTGGATGTTTTTTTAAGTAAAAATAGTTGACGTGTAAATGGTTTAGTGTATGTGCTATTTGAAAAACGCGCAAGAGTTGCTATTGTGCACTTTTTCCCAATTTTGCAGTGAATATTTGTCATGATTAGCATTTTGTTAGATAAATTTCTAGCATAAGTGTAATTCGGTAGTAGATGTGGAAAAATGTTAGTAATAAAAAGAAAAGAACATTTTACTTCGTGAAGAAAAATGGCGGCGGAAAAAAAATATAGAGGGTTGCGACAGAGTTGGTCGCCAAATTTTCACCAAAAAATCGCCAAGTTACCATAATACAAAGATCAACCGAAATTTTAATAAATCATATCAAATTAAAATTTCTTATTTCGAAAAGTCAAAATAATTGGGATGAAAAGTTTAAATCTCAGTCAGCATTTATATTAAAGAATTATTAATATGATGATAAATTATTAAATTGTGCACAATATTTACTCGTTTAGGTACTTTTCCATTTTGCCAGCTCAAGCAATAAAGTCGCCAAAAATGATACAACCTATGCCAAATGGAATATCCTCTCTGGTAACCTTTTACGCCTCATTTTCAAAGCAAGTCCCAGCCATTTTTATCAGATTGATTGTTTCTCTCAATACTGGTATACAATTACATAGAATTTTTACCAGATAGTTCAATTTTAGGCCCTAATGCCATTTGCGGTAATGAAGTCAATTAGGATGCAATCATACTGCTCACCTGAGGGCTAAATTATAGGAAAGGCAAAGTCAAGGATTAAATTCATCAATTCTGATGAGAATGCACTAGTGAATTCTGCACTAGTGAAAGCACTGCGGTTTTACATAATTTCTGAGTAGCTATTCATACGAATTGAAATAATTCTTGCATTTAAACTTGTATTCCAAATTAAGATTTAACTTCAAATTATTGTAGATAATTACTGAGCGTAGTTTACGTGATATGAGATCTCATGGGGTCACTTGATATTAAACGGTGAATCAATGTATTGTACCCTGAAAGCATAGTAAGTTCTTAAATTAATGCCCTTTTACAAATTTACGGTCTTTATTTATTGTCTTTTTATAAAATTTTAAACGATATTAAAATGTTTATTAATTCAAAATAAAAAAAAATCTCAGAACTAACATTTGTTAAAATTTTTTATGTGTGTACTGCATGTTGTCGCCAATAAAGTCTGTTGGCGAGATTTTCACCGGTGGAACAGAAAAGTACCCTTGTTATTAATAAATGCACACACATGCAACAAAAAAAAAAAAAAAAAAAAAAGCCTTTTTTAAATGTAAAAAATAATAAACTGATGAATATTAGTATTTCTTTATAATGATGGAATAGTAAGAAAAATTCAGAAAATTGCTTGTAGATGGAGATTTGTAAATTTTGTGTTTTATGATTAAAACCAATTAATTCAAAGCATTTTAATCTTGCAGATAGTGAAGATTTTTCCACTGAAAGCCAGTGCAGTAACAAAAGATGGAGTTTTGAAACTGCTGTTGATACACATACATCTTTTCCTTCATTTCGTCTATCTGAATTTTGGAAAAAAGATATACTTTTGCAAAATGTAAGAATGTTTTTAAATTTTATTTTTACTTAAATTTTTTTAAATTATAAAAACTTGTGTGTAATTTTCTTCATTTATTTGAAACTTATAATAGCATAGGGAAAATTACCAAGATACCTTAACTTTTTTCCTTAAAGATGATGGATGGAATATAATGTAATTTCAACCTCTGTGGACAAAAACAAATTTTCTTTGTAATTAATTAGATAGTCTATCATCTACGTATACTGCCATCTGCAGTGGGTTAAAGAAAAGCATCATTAAATTATTTGCAATGCTACCAACCTGTTTTAGTAAGGGATTTGTAGTTTTTTTTTTACATCTCCACCTCTCCTGGTAGATCATCTAATCTTTCAATTTTTAATATTTACCTTTAATGAGGAAAATGTTTCCAAGCAATAAATGGAATGTGGTATTGAATTAATGAAATTTAAATGCCACAGTTCCAGTTCCTCTATCTCTAGTGATTTCCAGCATAAATTTTTCATAATAAATTTTATTTGATCTGAAGTGTGTGAATCTACTGTAGGCATTTGCAAAATTTTTATAAAGATCAACTGTTGCTTAATCAGTTAATATTTGGATTTGTACATCGTACAATCAAAAGTCGTTAATTCGGACACCTCTAATCCGGAATGATCTATAATCCGAACCTCAAAGCTACAAACTTTCTGCGCATGCGTCGCCTTGACGACCTTTACGACTGCGAATATGCGTGTGCACGCGCACAAAATACCTTTACGAATGCGCGTATGTATAACGGACGGTATAAGTAAGCTAAAATTATCTAATTCAGTTAATGTTGCAGATTGCGTTGTCTTAATCTTGAATTGATCGGTTTAGATTTTTTTGCAGAGTTAGAGCAATTTTATAAAAGTAAGCTTGAACTTTCGATTAGTCAATAGAATTTCTGATATATATTTACTAATATGTAAAGATCTACAAAGCGAAAGTATGTTTCGAATCCATTAAACAAAAAGTGGAATGCTGCAAAAAATGGATAAGGTATATCCTTTTTTGTTTATCTAAACTTTGTCTTTACGCTTGCACAATTTGGAAGTTATGTCATTACTATCCTATCTCAGGGCAATTTTTTATTTTATTTGCTTATAATCCTTACTAAAGGGATGTCCGTCTTTACACAGCACTATCCTTTCAGGGCAGATGTTTTTATTTATTGGTTTATAATTCCTTACTAAATGTAGTATTTCATCTCGATGTACTCCGTCTTTGATATGATTTAAATCAAATTCTCGTCATTTAATTCGCTTTGATACGAAGAAAGTGAAGAGGTTATTGAAAACGAAAAAATTTCGATTGACAAATAGTCGGTATTCTCGACAGAGCAATTATAGGACTGAACAGCGGAACTTTGTAACTGAACAAGAAATTATGTCTGTTTATAGAATTAAAGAGAATGTATTATCACATAAAAATGAAGCAACTTAAAACAACTTACATTGAAGAATGTTTAATAAAGTAAACAAATAAATATTAAGCTTTTTTTTTTTGTAAATTTTGATACCTTTAGATCATAATGTTCTTATTTATAAATTAGGTTTATAATTTCTGTAGGCCTTTTAGATTTAAACTGATGATCTATAATCCGGAAAAATCGATAATCTGGAATCGCCGAAGTCCCGACGAGTCCGGATTAACGACTTTTGACTGTATATGATACAATTAATTAATTTTGTATGGTACAATTAATAAATTTATGTATGCGATATTATATCCAGTTAATAAGTTTATGCATGTTACATACACTGAAGAGCAACTGAATTAGGGATAGCTGGCATTATGCAAATTTTGAGCTGTGTGCAAGCCTGGAAGTGACTTGCAAATGATGTAAGCAGGAGTTCGACAAGATAAGAAGTTCTGCTCATGTCATGAATAATAGTCAAAAGCATAGCAAATAATAGTGTGGATCTAAGCAGTTTTGATTGGGACCCGACGAATGGGTAATTCCATTTCAGAAAATAGTATGGACATTTAGATTTTCATGCTTCACTCTGTCAAGGGTATAGCATGAGTACATCAATTCCGGGAAAAACATCCCTGCCAGGGTCAACTGCCACGGACATCAACATGGATGACCATGGCAAGTCATCAGCGGCTAGCCAGCCTGGAGTGATGAATCAAGATTAACTTTTTGGCATGCCAATGACAAAGTACATGTACGGCATAAACTACATGAAGAGATAGATCCTTCCTGCCAGCAGGGAACTCTTCAAGATAATGGAGGTGATATCCTTGTCTAAGGAGTGTTCGCATTGACTGAAATTGGACCTCTACTACATGTAGCACTGTCTCGCACAGATGAACATTACCAGGATATCTCTGATGACCATCTGCTCCCATATGTTCATTTTCGACAGCTTACTACAGAGATTATCTTTCAAAAAGACAATGCACCTTGCCATCGCTCCCGAACTGTATTAGAATGGTTGGATGAACATTCCGCAGGCTTGCACATATTTTCCTGGTCATCAGGGTCACTTGACCTGAATCTGATTGAGCACATCTGGGATGCAAGTGACAGAGATGTTCGAGGCACCAACCACCTTCCATCTAATTTTCGTGAATTACAGGAGGTTGTTCAGGAGTCATGAATATGTATGGCTACCAATCACTTCTAGTGTCTTGTCAAGTCCATGCCTAGACAAATTGTAGTTGTCTTCAAGGCGATAGGTGGTGCTATGTGCTGCTAGACAGGTATCTCTAATTCAGTTGTTCTTCAGTATACATTAATTAATTATTTGATTTTCATCTTATTTAAAAATACTTTCATAAACAAAATTAAGGATTTTCTAAGTATAAATGTTTAAGAAAATTATAAAATGGAATTAACCAAAGAACATAAAATTTACTATGATTAATTATTACAACAGAAGTATATTATAAATAGTTTAGTAAGCGAAATCATGCATTATAAAGTGAATTTAAGTCAATGAAATGGTGTAACCACATAGTATGAATAGTACAAAAATTTCCTTGTTAAATCCTTTTTTATATTTTTAATTTGGCACTTATGAATTAAAAGCTTTGACGTTTGTAAAATGGTTTTTTAACAAAAAAAAAAAAAAAAAAAAAATTGCAGAACTTTTTTTACTGTAATATATTTTATATTCAATAGGCTGTATATGTGCCCTTTTTCAATGTTTTGTATAAACTTTTTCTTTTGGCTTATTTCTTTTGATGTATGTGTTCATATAGCATGCAAGTAAAAGGCTCTGAGTATTGTCATTGAGTATTTTAAGTAAAAATGTTGTATATCCGTTTAATACTTACAATTTCTAATTATCATAATGACGTCCATTTAATGATGACTTATTTATTTATCTGTACTTAATTTTTTTATTATCATTTAATGATGACTTATTTGTAATAAATTGAATGAATATTTGTTATATTGTTATTATTCAATTTCTTTGCACATTCATAAAATGTGTGATTAAATTGAAATAGATGTAATAATTTGGTAAAAGTATATTTTAGGGGTACCCTTTGGCAAAACTTGGTGATTTTTGGCGGTACATGGATACCGAGTTTGTGCCATTCTTTGTCTTGTTATTTTGGCTAAAGCCAAAATAACCTAACCTTTGTGTAGCCTAAAAGCTCTAGGAAATGAATTAGAGCCCAGTTCCTAAAACTTTGGAAACACCCCACATAGTTTTTCTAAAGAAGGTTTTGTACTTTTATTTTTCATGAATGTTGAAGTAATTTGAAGTATGCTGTATTCTTCTTAAAACATTAATGAATGTATACTTATGATTTATATTTGATTTCAAATGAATAATTTTATTGTAAGTCAAATTTCAGATTTTATGATTTTTATGAATTTTACATATGCAATAATGTTATATACCTAAAAATGAAATAAAATGCTTAGGTTGGTATACTAAAATTATGTTTAAACATTAAAATAGGAGCTTTAGCATTTAAATGTTAAATGTTAAAATGTATGAATGTAATTTTAGCATGTCAGCTTAGAATGTTTTATTGGGTTATTCATATAATTTTGTGGTTTTTCTATCATTAATACAAATGAAGCAGTACAAAAATGTAAGAAAATTTCATTGAAACACATAAACACCACTTTGTTCTGTGACTTTCTCTGTCTCTGACTTTTTAAAATAGTTACATTTATTTGAGATCACTTGTGATTGATGGAAATTTAATCATAATTTTGACTTTCTTTTGGATCTGCAAAACTTATCCAGACAGCTTCTTCTATGGGTGAATTGGATTTTATTGCTTTTCACAAAGATTTATCTTAGTTAATGACTTTAATTTCAATTCAGTCCTTTCTAATGTTTTTAAATTTGCGTTCCTATTTCTGCTGACAGATGGTGCTACCTTCTTGTTCGTTTTACTTATGTTGGATATAGAGACAGCCATGGCTTTCCCTTTGTTGCAGATTATTTTGGTTCTGATGAAGAGGGACCTGTGCCTGTTTGACCATGAAATTGACAAGAGTCTTTAACCAAATCTGTGCCGAACACAAATTTTGTCGTTTTGCTTATTTTGTGTTTTATTGTGACACATTTCTCTTCTGTCTTGAATTTTGCTACCAACCGGCATTTCTGAGCAATTTTTTCCAATTTGGATATTCACCAACTTCTGGCATTTTAGTATTTGCTTCACCACTCCACATGGTTACTGGATTCTCTCATTTTCAGAAGTTGGTGAGTTTCTCTTTTTGTTTGTATTTCTCTTTGATCATAATGTCATGCTTTGTGCAAATTTCTTTGTTAATGTTTTGTTGCCTCAATAGTGGTGTTTCATTTGGTATTGTATTGCTTTCTTAATTTTTTTTTTTTTTTTTTTTGTTTTAACTTTTTAAAAAAAGATATTTTAACCTTTTTGAGCTTTTATATTTCTTTGCTAATTTTATTTTTTTTTATATTAGTATGTTTTTTGCTAATTTAATTTTTTATCGTAGTATATTTCTCATGACATTCTGTTGTGTTAAAGTATAGAGCATCCATACGTCATCGCAGATAACATACTCACTCTTTTCCAAATGATCCTGTACTTTATTTTCTGGAATCTTTAGTCTGTCTGCTAATTCTTGAACTGTGTAACATGGATTTCCAGCAGTAGTGTCTTATTAGGTTCTTGTTTATAAAAGATGATTGCCATTTTCAAGACTGAAAGTTTCATGCTTAAAAGCTTAAAACTTTCAAGCCACCTTAGGTGGTTTGAAATAGCATTTTGTATGTATATATTATATATATATATATATATATATACAGTACAAAGTTTATGAGCAGTCTGACTAATAATTTTCCTTTTGTAAAATAAAAGAGCATAATATGATGAAAATAAAAGTACTAAGCATATAGAAACCGTTTGGAATCAAAAATTATGCTGCAACACTCGCTAGGGCTATGCAACTTAAGCAGAGATGATTATTTTTAACATCTGCTTCAACGAAAGTCACTCTTTATCAGCAGTAACAAAATAATTGGAAGAAACATATTTTGGTTTGAAAAATTGCAGATCCTTCTGGGTGAATCAATATTTTATTTTTGACATCAGTTTAACTTTGTGTGTCTTTTAATTCTTCAGTATTATATATTTCTTATGATACTTATGCATTCAGAATAACTTGAGAATATTCATTAATTTTTTGAACAAATTAATTTGTTTTATATGCTATGGCATTTCGATTTTGTAAAATTATAAATATGAAAAATGTATAAGATTGAAATATCATAAATGGTAATAATAATGTTAAACTGTTCAGAACTGACACTGTAATTTATAAACTGGAGGTATATAAAAATTCATGGTCTATATATGTGTGACTTCCAATTAAAATATACTCCCTTAGGTTTGAATAGCTACTCTTTGAGCATCAATGCCATAATATGTGAATTGGGAATATTTAAAAATTTAAATCCTGTATATATATGTGACTTGTATTTAAGAAGTATTTAGTTTTTATAAATTCTGCAAATATTAGATAAATACTTTCCAGTTTTGAACAAAAAAGTCTTAACTAGTTAATGACATTGTCAAAATAGAGTGACATTTCTTTATGAGTTGAGAAATGTTTCTGTATGAAAAATTTTCTCAGAAACCATGATTTTCATAATCCATAGCTTGTTGATCCACAAGAGTTATTGATAAGAGTTTTGTTCAAAGTATTACTAATTTCTTTACAGATAAATTTTTTGTTTATTTTTAGCCCAAAGGGGTGTTAGACCCAACAGGCTATTAGTCTCAAAACAGCATTTTGCATCATTTCACTTTTCAAATTTTTGCACCAAATACTATAGCCACGTATTAGAATTAAAGAAATTAAATTATGAAGATTCTGCATGAATATTTCTCACAATGTGAAGAAATAATGGTACCTAAAGCCATCAAATTTTGAATAATGTTGTCTTCCAACTGAGTTTGGGTGCTTGGAAACCTGAATTTTGAATTTGATTTATTATCTACGTCAAATTTTTTAAAACTTTAACAAATTTTTGATTAATAAACTCAACAATTTCAAAGTGGGCAATGGCAACACTGTACAGAAAAGACATTTTTATCTCCAATGCGCGAAACCATGTATGGGAAATTCTAAAGATATGCTGTTTTTAAATATTTTGTGATATTGCTGTTGAATTGAATTTTATGTGGTTTAAGTGCAAAAAAAATTATATTTAATAAAAGTAGCATGCAAAATGTTAAAAAAAGTACTTTTCGGCTTAATATAAAATCTGAAAGCCTTCAGTTTTTTTTTTAAAGTTGCTATTGTCAGTTATATATGTGTTATATTTGGTTTTTTGTATTATAGTTCATTTTATATTGCAATAACTTAATTACAGTAATAAATTTAAAATTTGGTACTTTCTGATTATTCAAACCCCATTAAACAGTCATGAACTTGTCCTGAGTTTGGAGAGCTTTCACAAACTCATCAGAGTATTCGGGAAGAAATATTTGTTTGGATATCTTATTTCAATGGTGTATCTAGTGCCATCTATTTTTTACGTTCTTCGTTTTCCATAGAAGATTGTTTTCGTGGTTTTCCCAATGTGTAACGTGTATATGAGCAAGTTTCCCTTAGAAAGACCTCCACGAAGGCATCCCTACCCTTAGGGAGATAGCCCTAGTGTGCTTTGCCGTAATTAAATACACCACCACCATAGAAGAGTTTTCTGAAGTAATTACACCTATAGCTGTGTTTAGGGATAATCCAGTTTTTCACAGAGTTTCACTGATGTTTATTCCTTTGTACAACAATAAACTAGTTTCTGACCCTTACTGTAACATTTTACTTTCAATTTTTCACACTGGATTTCTGTAAAATTTGGTTATTTAAGAAGCACATGTGTGAAATGCTAATTTTATCATTTTGTGCTATTGAAAATCTCATATAATTAAAGAAAAGTAATGCTTTCTTTCCATTGCTCAGCAGATTTCACACTTTCATTGTGGCAAAAACAAATGCAAACGATTGTAGTTCAAAAAGAAATGGAACTACTTTTATATGCGTCCTCAGGTCACCAAATTTTTCGGCAAACATTTTTGGCGAGAAACTCCACGCTGCCATATTACTATCTAAATTTTTTGTCTAAATTTTGAACTTTAAGCCTAAAATGTCTGCAAAAACCACATTTTGAACACACAATTTAAGCTAAAAATCCGAAACAAAAACAAAAAATTTAGAAATCAAAAATGTAAAGTTTCTAACCAAAAATATTTGACAAGAATCCATGTACACAGCGACATGTTTTAACTTAAAATAAATCTACGAATTGCACAATCTAGGCAACGAACGAATCTATGAACTACGCACACCTCGCTTTAATAAATTAAGATACCAACAATAAATTTCAAAAAATACCATGTACACAGCATCCTGTTTAAACTTAAAAAAACATCTACGAATTGCTCAATCTAGGCATTGTGCACAAATCAACAAAATAAACTAAAATAACTAAAATTACAAACAGTTTAAAAAATAACAATAACAACAGAAGTTCATAGTAAAAAAAACAATGAACATAACATTCTACAAAATAAAAACAGTAAAATAAAATGCACTTACCATAATACATTCGTTAATAAAATTTCACCACTCACACAACGTCTGTGAACAGAAGTTCTATGATTTTGCTATATCACGTCTTTCTGCGATTCAAAATTTTGAAAGTAACAATAGAAACTTCCTCCAAAGTTAATTTACTACACGAAAATCATGATCCAAATCTTAAACTCCGCTGACAGCAAACATTTGACTTCAAATCCACACAAGAACTATCAGAAGCGCTCTTCTTTGTCAGAGTTCTCATAGCATCTCCGCATTTCGGACTCCATTTTAAAAGTCCCAAAGAAATTCCAAAAATACACTTCGACCCTCATAAACACACCCGTGAACAAAAGACTCATTAACAACTCCAACATCGTACCTTTTAATACTAAATTTACTTTCCACACAGTCTAAAATACACAACTGAAATCTTGCCACCACGTCTATCATTGCAACATAGGCCATTTCAAAACATGCACGACAAGAACCAACGAGCAATTAAACCACTCAAAAGCAAAAGAGTTTTCAGCATCAAAAGGATTGCCATACAACATGAAATCACGCCAAAAACCAGCGCAAAACACATATTGTCACATTTGGTGATCTTAGGGCGCATGTAAGAGTAGAGCCAAAGAAATACTTTATCATTAAAATGACTGTTGAATTTCAAAAGTGCAAATTCATTTGTACTTTAATACACATACCTGGGTTGCTGCATAAATAACTTTTGGTGACATGATAGGTTGTCACATAAGTACTTTATGACTGCATGATATGTTACCTCATGAATAGTATTTTAGGCTTTTTGATTATGAAGTGGATAATTAGAAAGTGCCAAAAGCTTTTTATTTCTTTTATTGTAACTCCTAATTCTGAATGTTTAATAATGCACAGGAGGACAAGAACTTCAAAAAAGTATCTGAAAATAATGATGCCCGTAGCGCAACTTCTACATGTACCCACACAGAAGCTATAATGGATTATTTGAAAAAAATTGAAAAAGAGAGACTGATTTCTAATGATACAGCTGAGAAAGTTCTAAACGATTTGAATAAGGTGATCAGAAAGAGATTTCCAGGTATCTATCTATCTATATTTCTTAGATCCATTCAATGAAGCCTATTTTTTAAACCACTTTGTTTAATTGCCATTAGCCTTGTGCCATTACAAGGGCCAAAAGTGGTGGCCATTCATTATGGAAGCACCTAATAGGTGGCCACCATGCCTCCTATGAAGGGACAGACAGTTACAACAATGCTTTCTTCGGGATTTGAACCCAGGCCCAAATGTTATTGCTATATTATTTGTTTGTTTTTCTTTTCTTAGTTTTTGAGAATAATTGTATTTTAAAACTGGAATATGTTAATTAGGAGGGCACTTATTCTATAATTAAGATAAATTATTGCCTAGATAAGAATTGATTTAGATAGATAAGAATCATTATAAATAGATATGTTGTTTTGCACAGTTTAGAATTGTATTGAAAAAAATTTAAGAATTAGTTTTCTTCCTTCTTTTTTTTTTTTAATCATCTGGGAGCCAAGTTATTATTTACAAAACATTTGCTTCTGTGGATAATAGTAAAATAGTGTACATATTGCTATGGACACACATAATTAGGTGTGCAAACTGTTAAGGACACGAAGTTATGATGTATCGAAGTGGACAAGTAGTATTTACATGAACAATGAACTTAAGTGTACTTCGAATTTATCAAAAGTTAACTTAGAATCCAGTTTATATGAACATAGAATAGTCTACATAACATCATATACTTTGGGCTATGGAACTATCAACTACCTGAACTGATGTGACTGGCCTACTCTGTGGATAACTGCAACAATAATACGGACACATGTCATTAAGTGTGTAACAGATAAGAGCATGATCTTATGATGTATTGAAGACAACATAGGTTTAGAAACTGGTTAATATACAAGTTCTACTCTCCACAACATAGATCCTGTACTTTACTTCTAAACTAATGAGTGGACTGTATAGCAAAAGAACTAACTAATTTATTGACAGTAATTAACTATTCAGATCTAATACGTGCTCTGGCATGTTGCTTAGCCGAATCCAGATGGCCAAGTGAGAGTTCCTCTGCCTATCCAATAGGTGCCGCTGTATTCTAACTTAACAGATCCTATCCATGACAATGTAATGATTTATTGATTGTATATTTATTTTTCATTTATTATTATGTAACAATTATTGTATAGATAACATTGTCAATTTAGCATTGTAATATTATTATCAGTGATTCAGTGAATGCCGCCGGCAGTGGATGGTAGATTCTTTTCCGTTGCATGGGCATAACTCTGATTGGTGCAGAACCTTAGTTCAAAGGTTCATGCGACGGTGTTTCGGTCGTTAACCACTCAGTAGACATATTATCTACTTGAAGAAATTGTGTAGTATTGTAGTCTTTTTATAAACAATTAGATACATGTAATGGAATAAATAATAGCATTTTTTAGAATATGTGCTTTATATTGTTGAAATACCAATCAATTTCTATAGACTGGAATTGTATAACAAATCTGTAGTTTTGCACAATTTAGAATTGTATTGAAAAAATTTAAGAATTAGTTTTCTTTCCTTCTTTTTTTTTTTTAATCATCTGGGAGACAAGTTATTATTTACAGAACATTTACTTCTGTGGATAATAGTAAAATAGTGTACATATTACAATGAACTTCCCAACTGCAATTTCGTGATTGCTTTGTGGATAACTGCAACACAGTGTGCAAATTGCTATGAACACACATAATGAGGTGTGCAAACTGTTAAGGACACGAAGTTGTGCTGTATTGAAGTGAACAAGTAGTATTTATGTGAACAATGAACTTAACAAAAGTGTACTTTTGAATAATCCAGTTTATATGAACATAGAATAGCCTACACAACATTATATATTTTGGGCTATAGAACTATCAACTGCTTGAACTGATGTGACTGGCCTACTCTGTGGATAATTGCAACAATAATACAGACACACATCATTAGGTGTGTAACTGATAAGAACATGAAGTTATGACACATTGAAGAAGACATAGGTTTAGAAACTGGTTTATATATAAGTTCCACTCCGTCGCATGGACATAACTCTGATTGGTGCAGAACCTTAGGTCCGAGGTCCATGCGACGGCGTTTCGATCACTAACCACTATATTGTCTGGGTGGCAATGCAAAAATGTGATCATAATTAAATCAGATATCAAAGATAAATTAATTTTACTTCTATATTAGTTGATGTATATGGTATACATTTACCCTTACTTTGATTTGTGTATTTAATCTATTGTTTAACCCTGTGAACAGAGTGAGATTTTGGAACCATCATGAAGATCTGTATTTAAATAAACTTTATCTGCTAAATTTGTATATTTTAGTCTATATTTTCATATACTTAGATTTATTAAGATGGCATTTATATTGTTAAAGAAAGTACAAAAGCAAAATATCTGAAATTATAAGCTGATATATACCAAGTGACAAAAAAATCTAATGAACAGATAAAGCCAGTCATGCTACGTGGAGGGTTAATATCTTTTTCTGCAATAAAATATTTAATAAATTAATTCAATGTATTTGCTGTTATTTAAGTAAAACTACCCAGAATTGTATTTGTTTTGAAAAATACCATCTCTTTATATCTATCATTCATTTTTCTGTATGATTAGAAGAATATTTCAACTTGAAATATGCTTGGAGCCTTCTAAAAATATTCCTTGAAAATCACGAATTATTTTTAGGGATATGTCTGGAATATTCCAAATGATTTACTAATGTTCTGGGAATGTTAAGGATGACTTAGAATGAAAATGGAATATTTTGAGTTGTAGGAGGCAAAAGTATCACAGTTGGATATCATACTGAGATCATCAATATTGGAATTATGTCAGATGTCACTCCCCACCATAAAGATAAAATGTTACGTGATCAGTAAATGTCGCTAAATTTTGATATAATTTTTATTACAAAAATGTATTGATTAGGTACTTTTTTTGGCTGAAAAAGCCAAAATTTAAAGTTTTGTCATTTTGGAGGCATAGCTATTAAATAGAATAAACTATAATTTGAGGGTAAAGAGTTCATTTAGAATTTGCTAGCAAATTGTGAGTTACTACCAAGTGATTACAAGTGCTATTCAGTATTTTTTATATCATGTCACAACTCAACTCTGTATCGAGTGGGGAAGAAAATGACAATTTAATATTTAGGCATGAAACAATCTTTCTGTAAATAATAGAAGCAAAACAAAAATTACTGATGCATTTTAAATCACTCAAATGAACTACAAGTCAACTTTTTCGCCTGAAACATAATTTTATAGGTATTAATCATATGGATCGTTGAGGTTGGTAAAGAAACAATGAGATTCTGAATTGCCATGTGAAATTAATTTGAGAACAGTAATTTTTATTCTAGGTAAAGAATTCAACAAAATCACGATGAGATTTCAACAGCTATATATTCTTGTTATAGCTTTTTTATTGAATTTAAACTTTTGGATGAAATTTTAAATGAGTTATGAGTATCAAATAAATTATTATCTTTTTGCATTAATACAAAAGATTTCCTTTTAAAAAGAAAAGCATTTCAGAGTTTTCTACTGTCATTGCAAGGGAAAACGAAAACAGAACATACAAGAATGCTTCTTTTGAATTATTGCAGTTTATTATTAATACACTCTGCAGAACAAAAATTAATACAAACAAAGTAAATACATTTTCCAGAGCAAAGTTAGTACAAAGAAAGTACTAACAAAGTAAAACAGAACACAGTAAACACAGTCTCCAGAACAAAGTCCCAAATATTGTAATACTGTTGTGAATTTTCCTCATCATTACTGTAAATGTTGGTATTATCAGAAATGTTTTCTAAATAAAAAGAATTTAACAAGTATAATGTTTATTTCGCATTTAAGAAATCTTTCTATGCATTCTACAGTTAGTAGCTTGAGTAGTCAAGTAGACCTTTACAAGGTGATTGATGGTTTTGAAAACAAAAAGTAAACAAAATTGTTTTGAAATGTGGAATTAAAAGTTTTTCTTCAAAAATAAACAGAGAATTTAATTTATTCTCCTATATGTCATTTTGACTTGTTTATGTATCAAGATGGGTGGCAAACTCAGGAACTTCCCGAGCCGGCAAAAGCTGTAGCTACTTCACTGAGTGACACTTGTTAAATTGGATATTATAAATTGAACAAATTCCACTAATTACTAGTCGTTCTTTCCTCATCATAATCTTTAATATAGGCAGCTGTGCAAAGAAACTTTAATCTTGAGCTTTTTCTCAGTTGCCAAGTGCAAATTCAACCTTGGCTTGAAAAATATTGTGAGTTGAAGCTGCAAAGCACAAATAAAAGTTCTTCTTGTTATGCATGACTAAATTCCTGTTTTGAAATTACTGCTGTATTTTATCTTCAAATGACAGTTGCCCTTGTTATTTCAAGTGAAATAAAATGATATGTTAACAGTTATGCATGTATCTAAAGAAGTAATTTTTCTTCTTTATTTCAAAATAGCTGCATTATTTATATATCAGTTGTTTACTAGCAGAGGATATTTCTTGATAAGAGGTGGCATCATATCTAAAAACAGAAGACTGTAGTATCCTAATATGTGGCTCAGTATTTTCTATAAGTTATATAATCTTGCATCATAAGAAACAAACCATGTAGTTCATAAAAATTCAGTTTCAATTTAATTGATGATAGCAAAGCTTGCTATAGCTGTGTCACTAAGGAGAGGGATGCCTTCATGGAGGAGTTGAAAGCATTCAAGGAAAACTGGTTCGCATACACATTACACTTGGGGGAAACCATGAAAAGGCCCAATCAAGCTAACCTGTTCGCCTGGAATCGAACCCAGATCGGAATTACCTGTGTTCAGCAACTTTACTGCTCAGCCGCTTATGGGCCCAGTCCATAAGAAATGACAGCTATCTGATTTATATTGCTTTAATTCCCAAAACAGTTAATGACTTAATGTAAAAGATACATATGGATTGGCACAAATTAGGAATGACATTTTCATACATGTGACAAAGGGGGAAAAAATGCCTTGTAACCTACATAATTATTTAGTGGGAGTTAAAAGTAAGTCGTGAGAAATTTGCATTTTGGAACTTATATGCTATAGTATATATACAGGATGATCATAAAAACTTTCTTGGTATATGAACCTCCAGCAGACTATCAAAGCGTCTAGCAGGCTTATCAAATTGAGTAATGTAAGATTGCACAAAATATGGTAGATCAAAATAAAACATATAATTGTTGAAAATAAATTTAAAAAAATTAAATGTTTAGTATATCAAACCCAGAAATTTTAGAAACTGCATTGAAAGTATCTTATGAACATTTTGTGAATAATGCTTGAAAATTTTCCAAATTAGCCTCTACATTTATTTTTGTGAAGAGTGAAATAGACCTGTAATCAGAATTTGATTTCATTTTATATTCTGTTTTTCTTTAAGTTCTGAAAGTATATTATGATAAATCTATCTATATTTGTCTGATTTTACTTTAATATTAAATCTTAAAAGAAAGTAAGTATAATCAAATACGATATATAATGAAATCTGTTCTTATTTTCCCCTCCTTTTCTTTTCCTCCCTTTTTTTCTCCAGGAATGAGCATTACTCTATATGGATCTTATTCTTGTGACCTTGCAGTTAGTACATCTGATCTAAACTTTGCCTTGGAAACAAACTGCTGTATAAAAAATCCTATTTTATTTGAAATCCGCAAATGCCTTGCTAAAGGTAAAAATAATTTTAAGTATAGTTTTGATTTTCTCATTCATATGCTTCATATCCTTTATATACACTGGTTATCATTAATTAAGGAAAAATCACAAAAATGACGATTATTCAAAAAGTTACATGTGGAATTTAATGAAACTGACCCACAGTATACAACACATGGTACCGTATAAAATAGCTTGAAAAGAAATTACCAGACGATTATGGTGTTACAGAAATTAGCATAAATATGAAATGAACAATTCTGATGTGCTAGTTTGGTATAGGAAAATTACCTTCAATATGGATTATGATCTCCCCTATAAGCAATACAGCACATGCAGCAATGTGTGATGCTGTTAATTATGTGGTCTATCAGTTCTGTATGAAGTGAGAGCCATTGCTCTTGCAAAGTATTTGCAAGTGTGTTAAGGGTCTGAAGAGGAGGATTAATAGCAACTATACGTCTTCTTAGAGCATCTCAAACATGCTCGATAGGATTCAGGTCTGGTGATCGAGCTAGCAACTCTATGTGCTGAATTGTATCCTGTTGAAAATAATCATTCACAGTGCGAGCCCTGTGCGATATAGCGTTGTTGTCCTGTAGCAGGAAATTATCATCTACTGCCCTGGTATAACGGCCACATAAAAATCAAGGATGTTATCTCTATAGGTGTGAGCATTCACGGTTCCACGTTGAAAGACATAGAGGTCTGTGCGTCCACCTAAAGAGATATCACCCCAAACACAGACACTGTTTCCTCCGTATGCATATCTTTCACGGATGTTTGATTAATGAAAAATGGGTTCCAGGTTCTATCGAAATCAAATAATGCCTACTATCGCTTTAGAGGCTGAAGTTAACTCATCTGTGAAGAGAACAGCCTTCCATTAATCAGATGTCCAATGGACGTATTGACATGCCCACCTGAAACGATCCCTTCTATGACGTGACTAGAGCGACACACAAATGGCTTGTAGCCTCACGTGCAGGCCTCTTTCATGAAGCTTCCTATGCGAGGTTGACAATGACACCAACCTTCTGGTGGCTTTAGCAAGGGAAGATCTGAAATGAGTCTGAGTTGCTGATCTATTCCTTCATGCTCATAACAACAAATATCGGTCATCAGCGCTCTTCGTAGCGGTTGGTTGTCCTTCACTGACCACCTTGATGCCGAATCTGTGGTTAGGAATTGTTGCCAATGTCTATGAATCACATAACGACTCACGTTTAGCCATCTGGCCACTTCTGTATGGTTTTGCTCTGCCTCTAGTCTCACAAAAGCTCTCCATTGCAGTTTTTCGGGCAAATGATGGAGGTTATTATTACAAATTGGCTATCCCACGTTTCTTATCTCAGCATCACAGCGAAATTTGAAGGCTTGCTCTGAAGCATTCAGTTTTATGCTCCTCGCAGATGACATATTTGGATTGCAGCACCACTAATATGGGTACTGCAGTTTTATTCAGCAACTCTTATTTGACAACATATTCAAATTTTATATGGATTTTTTTTATTTTTGAATGAGTTATCGGTATTTTTGTGATTTTTCGTTAATTTTTGGAAACCAGTGTATATCTCATATTTTTCAATAGCTTAAGATTAAAAATGTTTCTAAAAATTCTTCTGAACCAATATGCATTCCTCAAAAAAATTAGGGCATATAACTTCATGTTAATTTTGACATATCCTGTCATTTTTTTAGTAGTGTATAAATTAATGAGTCAACTAATTCATTACTAATAAGGAGACTGTTGGATTATTAATAAGTATTGTATGTTTGTAGATTTCAGTTTTTATCTGAACGGTAATATATTGACAACTTTTCTCAAGTAGTGATTATAAGCCGTCTTTGCACTTTTTTGTTAACCTTTAAAATACAAGAGTTTGTTATAATTTTAAATGTTTGATAGTTTATGTATAAAATGTTCTGAATTATTTTATGCTGTGTACTGAACAAGTATCTGATAATTGGTTTTAATATTTTACAGGTAGTCCTCGACTTATGATGAATGTAATCATTATAAAGACATTTTTTTATTATTAATAACTATGATAATATTTTTATGAATTAAGATTTTGTTTAATATAAAATGGGCTTATATTCTATAAAGTTGCATAATATTTTTACAAAGAAAAGTAAAGAATATGTAATAGATTAAATTAGCAGTGTAAATTAATTTCCCTTCTCTATCTAAAAATAGTAATCTCTCTGCACTACGTCATTTCAAGATTAATCCATGTCATATGACTTAATTCTGATGATGTAAATGGAACTAAAAATCAAACAGCCAACAGCAGTATTAACTATCCAATCAAAATGCATTGAGAAACAAAACTAACTCATTCTGAATTAAGATTTCACCCTGAACATAACACGCTTGCTTTATACACTTTGACCTAGCTGGTGCAGTCTGTCTGCACCTTTTTTCTTACTGCAAATTTATCAAAAAAATGTAAACTTTTGAAATAGGCATAAATAATGTGCTAACTTTAACTTGTTTGTGGCTGCAACATGTTTGCTGAAATAAAAGTTGAATTAAATATACCTTGACTGCCAAATTTCTCATTCATTGTGGATTGGAGTTTCAACATCTCTAAGCCATCAAAATTCTCGCTGTTCGTTACAAGTTCAACTGCCTGTGTTCTACTACAGAATCTATTACACACACACATATATATATGCATAAACAAGCTATAGATACATATTTTAATAATCAACATATACTTTATCTTTAAATTATTTAACATGATCAAAAAAACAAAAAGTACAAATATCTTTGATCCAAATTAAGCAGATTACATATTTGGATGATTTATTCAAACCATGAGTATTTTTTTAAATCAGTTTGTTAATACTATCTTCCCCTTGATACTCTGTTTATTATATTGTAACATCTGGCTACTTTTAGAATTTGCTTATTCACTTCTGCAAAAGAATCTGTGTTTTGATCTATATTTTCAAGTGGCTGAAGTCTTTATTTAAGAGGTACATGCAGGCTCACACCAAGCCTGATTGGCGACGTTGTGCATAATGTCTAGCAAGTGCCTTTATGTAGTGGCGATATTAAAGGGACATTACTTACGGTTAACATTTAAAATGAAGCATCATTAACATAATAATATGAAAAACAAACACACAAACAAAAAAAAAAAAATTACATTTTATCTTTTGGCTACATATGCAAACATTTTGTGCTGTGTTAAAACCCACACTCAAACATATTTATTGAAGAATTATACATACATTTATGTTATAAAAAGCCGCCTAACTGGTATAGTGGTTAGCGTTGCTGAAGGGCCCGGGTTCAAATCCCGAAGAAAACATGGATGTTTGTAAATGTATAATGTCTGTGCGGCATGGGGACACTCTAAATATGTGAGGCAAAAGTCCTCTCGAAAGGTTGGTGATGGGATAAGAGGGATGGGAGACGTTCGGACCCGTCACTCCGTCAAAATTGCGGGGGGAAGCTGAGCTAAATCGCACTATCACCTGTATTGTGCTCAAACCTGTTGTCAACGACAGCTGCATCTTGCGCTCCTTGCCACGAGGAATTTTGTGGGCTTGGGCTGACTACAGGTCAGACAAGTGAGCATTAATCAACAACAACATGCTATAAAAAAGTAATACTGCAAGCAAAGCGAAATTAATGTACTAAATGCATAATGTACCAAATGTGTTGCTGAACACTATTTATTATCTTAAAATTAAAAAAAAATAAGTATACATATCTATTAAGTTTGCACTGAATAAATTGTTGCACGCAGCATAGTTTACGACAAGGTTCAAACTGTGATCGCAACAGGGGGGGGGGAAATGTTCTAGGGCTGATATCTAGGAATATATCGAAAATTCTTTTCTGCTCACTGCTATGTGGTTGACAGCAGTATAGAGTAGAGTTTCACCTGGTGATGCTACATTTCCTTCAAAAGTTTGCAAAATCTGCAGATCTTTACTAATTATATCGCTTTGATTTTTATCAGTTAATGCTGTTTGTAGTTTTTGACATAAGCTGAGCTGATCTTGTATATGTGTATCTAATCTTCTATACTAATACATGATCTTGTATACTTGAACGAAAATAGTCGATGCCGATGCATATGTAAGGGTACAGGGGACGCTGTAGATTTGTTTGACAAAATGCTTAGTTATTATTTTGTGTCTATTGTTGCAATCGTAGTAATTTGTGCAACATTAATTTTCTTTGTTTTTTATTTGGGGATTGCTTATTGTTATTCTACATAAAAAAAAAAAAAAAAGTTTAGTGCACTTACATTATTATGTTAAACTTAGATTAGCTTTTTAATTCAGAAAACCGGCGATTTGACCATAATTATTTGAAATTTTTTTTTTTAATTGAACCATTTGTTTATTAAACTAAAAGTCATTATCTTTCAAGAAGATAGGATTGACATATTTACAGAGTACCCCTGAATTTAAAATATACCTAATTTAGATTTGAAGTGCAGTAAAAGTATTCAAGGTAATTTGAAATCCAAAATTGGTCATGTTCCGATTTTTAACTATACGGAAAACTTAAGGAAAATGTTTCGTTATTTCATTATGCCTTAAATACATACTTTAAATTTGATTTATTTACTTTAATAAAGAAAAGAGTACCACCACCTCCTTGAATTATTTTGTATTGATCTAATAGTTCATATATTTTCCAAGCAATGGTATAAGATATACTCACTTTTTCAGAAGTAAGGTAATATTTCAAACAGTAACTTTCCGAGTGTTTTATGCAATAGTTCTTATAATAGTTATTTTTCACTTTTATTTTTACTTCCACATTTTCTGTTTTCATTTTCCCCCATATGTCAGAAGAAAAACAGAAAAAAACTGTCTTAAATATCAGAATATAGTGAAGAAAAAGAAAGTGAGAGGAAGAGTTATTAAACCAGAACTTTAAAATTACTCAGCTTTTCCAAAACCCAAAGAATACCCAAGCTGACGCTACTAGCACTAGTTGTTCATCAGTGTCTCAGCTACCATTGTAATTACCAAAAGAACCTAATAATTAGAAAAAGTTAGTGTTTTCACCCTGAAATTAACTTTAATTTCAATGCAGCCGGTTGGAAAAAATAGAAGAAATACTATTGAAATCTACAGTTTCTGCAGTAGATATGCATTTGCCTGTACCTGATGATTCCAGATTAAGCCTAGTCCATTATTGCCATCCCAGACTCAAGCCTTAATAGAAAATGGTCCTGGATATTACCAAAATCTGGTTTCAGTTTTAGTTTCCCAAAAGACAAAAATGAGTGTAAATTTTTATTGATGTACTTTTGTTGAATCTTGCCAAACAACAAAAGAGTTAACCCGATTTCTTAGAACGATTACGAAAGAATAAACCTGTTAATTCTGTTCAAATGTTGTTCAAAATTTATTAAAAAAAAAAAAGAGACTAAACAATGACACGATGTTATTGAAAGAATTATGTACACCATTCAGTTTTTAGCCAAACAAAACTTAGCCTTCTATGGTTCCAGTAACAAATTGTTCGAAAGAAATAATAATTGTTTAAAGTGTATAGAAATTATCACAAAATTTAACCCTATCGTGTCTGTATATATTAATAAAATTCAAACTAAAATACATATGCTTCATTACCATGAAGATAAAATTAAAAATAAAACAATTAGCTTATTAGGGGATAATATAAAGCAAATTATTTTAAATAAGGTCAAACAGGCAAAGCATTTTTCTATTTTACTTGATTGTACACCTAATACCAGCCATCAAGAGCAGTTTGTATGAGGTACCTTAATTTAGAAAATACGTACATGAGTATTGAAGAAAGGTTTTTAGTATTTTGTATTATAACAAATACAGACAACATTCTTATTAAAGGGGAAAAGGGTTTAGATATTAGTAATTTACGTGGCCAAGAATACGACAATGGTTCAAGCATGAGAGGTAAACAGTTTTTGAATAATTAAGCTCAAATCGTTGCTTTTCCAAATTAAAAATGTAATTTAAGTTTAACATAACACATAACTATACTTGCATTTTTTTTTTTTATATGTAGGAAAAAAAATAGCAACAAGCAATCAAAAAAAAAAAAAAAAAAAAAGTTGCACAAATTACTACAATTGCAACAGTAGACATGAAATAAGGATTAAGCAATTTGTCAAACACATTGGCTTCAAGTATTTTCATATTCAAATAAAACAGAAGAGGACACCAGAGGCGAACTCCTGCCCTGGTTGTAACTTTGGGTCAAATAAGACAGTGTGCTAGGAGGAAAGAGCACTCAGACCCGGCAAGTTTCATGCTGCCTTAACACAGTTAAACACCCCAACCTCTAGAGGCGATCCAAGCCGATGAGGTAAGACTAAGCTGAGTTAACAGGAATACTCAGCAACTCACATTCCACGTTCCTATTCTGGAGGGATGGTGAAAACATCTGCCATGAACAGGGGCCCAACCCCGGATGCTTAAACACTGCAGACAGACCAAGCCACCAATCCGGCTTGCTAACACTACGTCACGGTATACAGATTTTGGCTTTAGGTGTCCCCAGGGGGAATGAATATGCAGTTTTGATGCTCCAGCCGCCCACCGGAAACCTCAAGCAGTTTAAAGGCTCGCTGCATTCGCCAACTCTATCAATGGGGGTGTTTCGCCCCGGACAACCATGAATATCTGGCTACATAGCTCCACCACAACCAACGGAACAAACAAGACGGTGCTATACGGTCCCTGCCGAACCTGAAACAGCCATCGTCAGCAATTACTTCAGTCCTGTGGATACTAAATTTAAACACCCATGGCTGAGACTGCCTAGGTGCAGATCGTAACCAGTAGGTTCCCTGATAACAAACAGATCTTAATAAGCAACTTCCCAGGTTTTACCCGAGTCGACTCCCGGAGGGGTGTTCAAACAAGACAAGAATTTTCTTGTTGAGACAGGCAGAGAGACAAACTGCTTGTTTTAATGATTGCCCGGTGTCTTTTTGACTAAGCCGCACGACCTTGCACCTATTGTTGGCACGGGCCTGGGTACATATTAATCTGTTTTTATTTAAAACGTGTTCCAGGTACGCTTGTAGCAAATACTTTTTTGGAAAACTTGGAATTACTCCTGTTGTAAGTTGGCAATTTATTCTTGTCAGTATATTTGAAGTTCTGGAATTTAATTTGAAATACTAAAAAAAAAAAAAAAAAAAAAAAAAAAAGTTGTAATTTTAAATTAGTATAATTTCCTCATAATTCTATCTTTAACTGGTTCAAGAGCAGGTACTGATGCAGCTGCTTAGTGGATATAAGTGCATTCTGTCATTTATTTTCAGAATATTCTGAATTTATTTACATTAAATGTCTATTCTGGTGAGCAACCTCTGTCTTTATCATTTCTTTTAATTTTTTTTTTTTTTTTTTTTTCCCAGAAGCTTCCAAATCAGAACTAACAGTTTCTTATCTTACACATATATAGTTGTAAAATTTATTGAATTCCAAATTGATGAAACAAAACTTTGCTAGCATTAAATATTTGTTTGTTGTGTTTATCTTCTTCACACATTTTTTTAAATTATCAAATAGACTGCATACTCTGTTTTTATAGTTAATAAACTCGGAAGAATATGCTACTGACACACCAAAGACTGAAAAATAACAAGTGATTGGGTCTAAGCAGTGGCTAAGGGGCTTTGTTCGGTAACGTTTTGCTGCTGTGCTTAAAAAGTGTACTCTATTCTCTTTGTGAATGATGTTTAGTTTTCATGTTTACTGATATGTATATTTTTCATTATTTGCTTGTGGTATCTATGGAGATATACAATAACTGCGTTGTTTCTTTTTGAAACCATTTTACCTCTTCAAAATGTTCTACTAGTTACCACAATAAGTAAATAATGAAAAATGATTAATATTGGCAAATGTCACATAGTATATGTTGTAGGAGTAGATTTATTTCAATGGTCATATTGCTTTACTTATATAGAAACACTGTATGTATATATATATATATATATATATATATGTTACGGTGAAACACCGAAATCTAGAGAATGTCGACTTTCACTGGTGAATGTCAGCATTCACATAGTCGCTTGGTGTATGTCTGAAATATTTTCCAAATACTCTTATTTCTGACTTACACCGGTAAATGTCGACATTCACCATGGTGAACGTTGAACATATAAGAATATTATATTTTCTCCGTAATTCAGTCGCGAAAAAATGCACTTGAGACTTAAAATAAGAATTTAAGAACATAAGACTTAAACTAAAATTAAAACACACAGTACATTCAAAATGAGAAAGGAAAATAATAGAAGTTAAAAACTTACTAAATTACATGATTCAAATGTTTATTTATTGCAACAACTTAAACTATTATGACACTTTGAATTGCAGAAGAGGCCCTTGCTTTTACAACTGTATTTATTTGTGGAACACTTTCTTTTGCAATGACAGCGTGTACATATACTCCTCTCTTTTCGACCTACACCAGAGCATATCTGTGATTGTCGACGTACACCGGTGAGGGTCCGAATGTATAAGAATGTAATGCAATATTCGATCTTTCACCGATGTATTTGGTGAAAGTTGACATTCTCCAATTTCGGTCTTTCAACATATATATATGATGGCTATTTTTAATCTTAGTGTTTCATCATAGTAAACATTAGTTGTTGCAAGTCAAGGATAACTGTATATTGAAGTATAGGTTTTATCATTCCGAAGTTATATTTTGCTTTTTTTAACAGAATTAGCAAAGTATGATGTACTACCTTTTGACGGGGTGATGTCTGTAAAAAAGTCAAAGATTTGTTTCATAGAACCATACACACGTGTAACCTGTGAAGTGATGTACTTAGGAAAGTATACGGAGAATGTTCATAAAATGTCAGGCTTTCTGAAAGCACTATGTTCCTTTGACCACAGAATTAAAACATTGTTTATTGCTGCAAGAATTTGGGCAGAGGTTAGTAAAACTTAAATTATTTAAGAGTGGTTTCAGTTAAAGAATAAATTATCTAATTGGTTTTTCAGACCTCTGTGAATGAAATAATAACGTTTCTAAATAAGTAAAATTGAAATATGCAAACTACATCAGGTTTTTCAAAGTTGTTACAAACAATTAATTTGGTTTTGATATCTTGTGAATACAAACGCATGGATTACACTTGTTTTTAATATTAACATAAGATAATGTTTAAAATTTTTAAACGTGTGAATGCAGACTTTCTGGTGGCACATTGTGCAGCAGATATGAGTTCTATTTTCATACTGAATTTACAGCAGAAAATATTTTAATGTTTTAGAATATGCTGAGAGTTTATCTATTGTTATTATATACTCACTTCCAAAAGTTAAGCACGAAGATGTAAAATGCAAAAAAGTCAACAAATGCTGCTTTGATTGACACAAAATTCGGCAGGAAAGTAGCATATATATTTATGCATAAAACAAAATCAACAATTGTATACAGAAATAAAAACAATATTAAATTTTTGTAAGTTATCAGATAATGACATACTGGAGCCTTAAACAAAATTATGTATAAAGTGAAAATAAACAGGATAAAATGAAAAAAAGAGGACATTAATAGGGTATGCGATCTCCCCCCCCAATCTGTATACAAAGTTTACACCTTGTGACCATGTTTTCAATTAGGTGGTCAACCACTGCAGAATTAAGCAATCGCCATTCTTCTTGTAGAGCAGTTTCCAGCTCAATAAGAGTGGCTGGATGTAGGGAAAATGAAGATACAGCATGGCCGAGAGCATCCCAAAGAGTTTCAACGGGATTAAGGTAGGGTGAATATGCTGGCCACGCCATACCTGCAATCCCTTCACTCCCCAGGTAGTCATTGACGATGTCATCTCTATGGGGACATGTCCATTAAAATAAAAGTAGGGCCAACTGCTGCAGTGTACAGTCTCACAGTGGGTTCTAGGACTTCATCTCGATACCGAATAGCCGTCAAAGAACCCCGTTTAAAGATGTGCAGGTCGATGCGATATCCTTATGAAATCCCTGCCCACACCATAATGCTTCCACCTCAGAATGTATGATGTTCGGTGATGTTTTGGGACTGATTGCGTGTTCGTTGTTCATGCCATATCCTTATACGCTTGTCATCTGGCTGCAGAGCAATTCTTGACTCATCAGTAAACATGACATTGCTCCAGTCAGACACATTCCAATTGACATGTTCCCGGCACCACTGTAATCATGCCCCCTTTGATTGGAAGGATAGAGGAATACAAACTCGAGGTACCCGGGCATACAGTCCACTCATATGTAATCTTCGGCATACAATAGCTGCAGATATCGCCTTACCAATAGATGCTGTAACCATAGATGTCACACTTGTGGAGGTCGCTCTGCGATTCCACTTGGCTACAATAGCAATATATCGATCTTCCGCGGGGGTTGTAACCCTTGGGGGACCAGCTACGGGCCTTCGGACAACTGTCTGTATGGTTTGGAATTGTTTCCATAAATGTGAAATTACAGAATGATGAACGCTGAAGAAAAGAGCAACATCTGTGATCGACTGTCCTGCTTCAATGCGTCCACAGCATGCCAGCGCTCAGAATCTTCCATTCGTCTTCTGGAAGTCATAGAAACACGTGTGTCTTGAAAACAAATTGTACGAAAGCTTTAAACACGTTCTATCAGCACTTACAATCAACTTCTGTAACACTTCATAAAGCTGGCTTCTTATAAGACTGCTTTTTTTTCATATTTCTTGACATGAAAGTGCGATTAGCTGTTGCCTAACATATTTGCATACTTCCATCTACATCTACAGTGAATTGCATCCTCTTCAATTCTGATTGGCTTCCGGAAATTAGCATTTTCCTCTCCATACTTAACTTTAAGAAGTGAGTGTATATGACAAGTTCATCAAAATGCCAAAGCATTCTGCAATATCAGTACGGCTACCTATGCAAAGGTGTAAGAATCCTGGATGGCCTCATGTTTTTAAATAAACAGTGGGTAAAATTAGTTTTCCATGTGTAGCTCACAGAAATCAGCCAGTCAAGGGCTGGCTATGAATTTAATATTCTACAGCCAGTAATTTGAAAGATTTTGTAATGGCAGTTACAGCTGAAACCATACAGTTTACAGTTGTTGTAGCATTTAGAGCAGATGATTAATCAAGAGGTACCAATTTTATTATCACGTGCAGCAAGGATTGCAAGGCAACACTTTTGCTGCCAGCCCAGTATTCAGTGACAATGCAACATTTCATGTATAGTGTTATAATCTCTCCCAATGTCTGGACAGTGCCAGCATGAGAATGTTTACCACCTGGAACAACATATGTGATTCTTCCCTTCTTAAATTCCAAGTTTTGTTTGCACTGTCCTTCCTAAATTCTGAAAATTATGCATTCAGTTCAGCTATGCTGCCTCTGCTGCCATCTAGTTAGGAGAAATAGAAAATTGCTGTATGTTTGATGAATAGAAATAGGATTTACCTACCTTAAGCATCTACCATCCCACTTTATAAATCCAAATGTATGAGCATTTTTTCATTAGAAATGGAAGTGTGTGTTTTAGCTTAATGTTGGGATTATTTTTTCAAATAAAAGAAGGTTCAGAAATTTTCAAATTCTGAATGCAAAATGGGTCTCCATCACATTTGCATTGTGATGTACATTACTACCTGAGTGATGAGCCGCTATGCTGTTTTGGTGGACATGGAGAAGATGGTTTAAGGTGGTTACCTTGCAGGTTTATACCTAATGATATTTTAATTTTGGTGTCTGTTAAAAGACAATGTTCACATAGCTTTAGTGCTGCAAAATTAGAGGAACTCCAAAATTGCATTATAGTTGCTTTGGTGATCGTCAGCAAAGACAATAGTGGATGGAATTGGAGTATTGCTTGACATGTATCATCTAATGACAAAAATACATATTAAACATTATACTATCAGACAAAAGTTGAAAAATTTTATTACATGTTATATGACACTCATTTTTTAAAAAAATTTTCCATTTTTACCACTACTTTAAAACCTGATGAATCTTTTATAATAACCTTGTATGTTAATTATTCAATTTTTTATGAGTGGGTAGATAATTGTTTCTAGCTGCACTTTTGTTTTAAAAATTTTTGCTGTATTAACATAGGAAGTTAAAAAATTGTTATGTGTATATTTTACATGCTCCTAATGCAATCAAGTTGAGTCAGCCAACAAAAATTATTTCATAAAGAATAAGGACAAAAAAAAAAAAGCGTTTATTAATTTTCAAGTAATATATATAGTTTTCCTAAAAAGTTGCTGAATTAAATGATATATTTTTCAGAATGTGCATCTTTTAAATAGTCTATTTTTATTATTGTACTTGTATTCTATTTTGCTGTAAAAAGCTGAGAAGTCAAAGATTAAAGAAACTTTTGAGAGATCATTGTCAGATTTCCTTAAATTTGTGTCCAAATTTGCAGAACTTCAAAATCTAAATTCTTCTTTACAACTACAACTGTTCACAAATTATAAAGGGTTATAACATTCTGATATAAAAGCACTATAACAGTTATATAATATAACTACAACAATTATATGACTATAAAACAATAATATAATTATAGAACTATAATTTTGTATCTAATTAATATATAACAATTATATATATATTATTAACAATTCTGTAACTATAAGCAAAATAAAAATATATATATATTAATGTATATTTATAATAATACTTTAAGTAAATTTCGTGGTGTAATTCAGATAGTTTGTTAAAAAGATCATAGAGAATTTATATTCTTTTGCTTTGAAATTTGCGTGGGTAGAAAACTGATTGGCCTGCATTGGCAAATCAGTCAAATTAAGGTAATTCTGATAAACATTAGATACTTACATGGTGTTATTAGGAAGCTGCTAACTAGAAATAATACTTTTCATGGGTGCAGTGCTTTTTAAAATTATATTTTGGAATACTGTTTCAAGTTATTTGCATGAAAATTATGTCTATAAATTTATGGTATATTGCATTTGTTCTGTATTATAAGAAGTGAATATTTTTATGATGGTATTCGGTATATTATTTAAACTTTTAAAACTTCAAATGTGGTTGCCATTATTTTAGGTTTGATAATTAGTGTGAGGAGATTTATTTCATTTGTTATTTGCAGAAGTACAGAGTTCATGTTAGGTTGCATAGGAATGAAAGTCATTTTATTTGTTTTGTTCTGAAATAAAATTTTTATTTCTTTTAGAGATTGTTCTGAATTGAGTCATTCAAATAAAATAAATAACCAGAAAACAAAGTGTATTAGGTCTGTAGTTTATATGGTCCATATGATAAAGTGTATATTTTGATATTTTTAATAAAGAAATTGAGATATTTTAATTTCGCTGATCAAAATTTTTAGCTATGTAACGGTCTAAGTGTACTTAAAATAAATGAATGATGACAATAAAAAGGTGAAATCGTAATTTTATTCTTCTGTTATAATGAATGCTATTTTTATCTTGATTTCATGTTAATTTAGGTGTGCTCAATACATGAAACTGAAGATGGGAGACTTCCTCCAGTGGCATTTAATTTGATGGTGGTGCACTTTTTGCAGCAGCTTGAGAAACCGCTTCTACCCATAATAGATATTTCTATAACTAGCTGGGTGAGTATTTATTATATTAATTTGCATTTTTGCCCCTTTTGAAAAACTAAAGCTAAAAGCTTTTGATAATGTGCATCTACAACAATGGAAGTTCACAAAAATTTAAAAAAAAAAAAATACAATGTAAAAATAAAGTACTATTAGCAGAACAAACTTGCATTTTTGGAGTAATGTTGTGCAATTGCAGAATGATGTAATTCAAGCAAATACAGTTTTTAATAAAGAACTGTTACATTTCATTAAAATTTTTTTTCCAAAAGGAAGGAATTCTATTCTGAAGTCAAGGTTGCTTTAACGGTTGCTTGTACATTACATTTTGCCAAAGTGGAAGTCTTTTTAAATTTTCTTATGCATTATATATTTTGGTGTTATTTGTTAGTTTTAATACCTTTCGCGAAGAGAGAAAATTCCATTTTTACATCAAATTGCCTAAGTTCCATTCTAAAGTTAAAGAAAGCTTACATGCATGTGATAAAATAAACAATAGGTACGATACAGTTGTAAGTTGTGATAAAATTATCTTTTGGATAGCCTCCTTAATCTTCTTTTAAACCTCTCGGGGTTATACGTATAAAATTTCATATAGAAGGATGGCTTTTTCATTCCTTACACATGAAAATATGTACCAGCTCTCGACCTATCTGCTTTTTGGTTTGGACCTATATAGAAAGAAAAGAAGTGAGAGGGTTATTTTGGAACTATAATCAAGAAAATAATATTTATTCATGACATTTTGATGAACACTGAAGTTTCAGGCCCAAACACATAATCCTCAGAGAGTTAATTTTATTTCCCCTTTGTATCCTAAGAATAGTAATGTGTATAATAAAGCTGAATTGCATCATTCAGAATTAAACCCTGCTGTGTTATTGTATACATGTGTCGTTATACTATGACACAAGGTCTTTTATTTAATAGTAATGATAAAAATTTGCAAACCAAAAGCATTATCAAACAATAGGGAAAAAAGCAGAATTCTTTATTCTTAATCTAGCATCCAGTTCATAATATGTGCATTCATCTGATCCTTTTCTGTGCTGCTAAAATGTCATTCACTACTTTGTTTGAATAACTATGCATTTTTATGTGAATGTGTGCAAATGTTTGTCTCTGTAATCCTTGAACTTGCTTTTCTAGGAAATTTAACTTCAGTAAAGATGCTGTGTGAAAGCTTTATCATGTAAAATGGATGTCTCTAAACTATGGCCCAAAGGTTTTTTTTTTAAAATAATTTTATAAAATTTAAAATAATCATGATCACATACACATTAACTATTTTATACAACAGCCAATCTACTTGTATAAATACATTAACTCTCATGCAAGTTCTTTACAAAGCGTATTATAAACATTATACAACCATTTTTAAATCTACAATGAGTGAAGTACTATAGCTCTCTATTAAAAATGTGTAATCGTACTTTTTATGAGAGTGAAGGTTTCGTGTGCTATTTTTACCTGCTTTCATAGTAATATTCTAGGTTTGTTCGTATAAATTTTCAGGAGCAATTTTGTGTAAATCTTAATATTTGTACTACATGTTATAATTTATTTAATTCTAGTATATGGTTTGTGTTTTAGAGTATATGGTGTTTTCACACAAAACTTGCCTAAAAAAACGAATGGATGAAAGTTTACACCTGATCAAAACATAAACAATATGAACTGATAAATTGCTACGATTAGGGAGCTAGATCAGCTTAAAAGAAAAGTTGCATTGCAAACTAAAGAAATCTCTGATATTCTGGGCGATAAATATTTGTGCAAGTGTTTAAACAGTTTTAAAAAATTTGTTAAGTGAAACTTCATGAAAGTCTAAAAAACAAGTCTGTTTGTGTTATTATAACCATACAGATCCAATTGCAAAAATCTTATTGCCTTGTTTAAAAACATATACAGTACAAAATCCATAATCCAGATGTCCATTATCCAGAATGATCTATAATCTGGACCTCAATGAGCCAAAAATTTTTTTTGGTATGCTTTGCGTATGTGCATATTGAGTTTACACATGCACGTTTAATGTATAACGGACGGTGTAAGCTAGGCTAAAATTATCTGTACTGATTCTAAGGCATTTCAGTTAATGTTGCAGATTGCGCTGTTCCTTAATCTTCTAATTGAATTCAGCTTATTATTTTTTGCAGACTGTTAGAGCAATTTTATAAAAATTAAGCTTGAACTTTCGATTATGTCAAAAAGAGTTTCTAATTCTGGAGCTGCCAAAGGATCTATAAAGCGAAACCGTGTTTCGATGTCCATCAAACAAAAAGTGGGATTGCTGCAAAAAATGGATAAAGGCATATCCGTCTCAAAATTATGCGAGGAGTGTGGCATTGGATGACACAAGAAAAAGGAACTTTTCGAATTTTTTGTGGAAGCATCTTAAACAACTTGCATTGAAAGAAATGTTTAATAAAGTAAACAAATAAATATTAAGCTTTTTTTTTTTTTTTTTTTTTAAATTTTGATAACCTTTAGATCATAATTGCTCTTTATTTCATACATTACGTTTTCATATTTTTAATTGTATAATTTCTGCATGCCATCTTACCAGATTTAAATTGATGATCTATAATCCGGAAAAAACCTTAATCCGGAATTGCCAAAGTCCCTACAGGCTTTGTACCGTATATCCTATTTATCATAATTACATCAGCATGGGATGGTGAAATAACTAAGTCTTGGCTCTCGAAGAATCATGAAAGAGGTAGTGCGGTTCACAAGGTAAAAAGTTCAGAGACTTCTGACGTAACATTATGTTCATTTAAATTTTTTTATGGCATGTATATTAATGTACTTTAACCAGTTTAATAGTAGTGAAATGTGCACCAAATTGCTGGTGTTAAATGTTATTGCCATTATATGTGAAAAGAAAGAAGGTTTATAAAATATTTTCACATCATAAAATAATTATTTTCCTTTCCTTTCACAATTTTTATAATATCATTTAGTTAATGTTCAAGGTGATTATAATGTGGTGCTTGATGCTTGCCTTCAAGTAGGCCAGATTCCCAATCCACCCACTATAAACAACATTCTTTAGGTATTCCGAAAGCTAAAAATTGCACGGGTTTAGTCGGGCGAACGTGGCAGCCACCCTGTTGGAAAATAGTGGCTTATGACGTTATGAGCGATCAGCAGCTACTTTAGACAAGTAGCAATGTCCGGAGGAGCACCATCTTGCATGAATATTGTGCAATCCACACACGTATGCTGCTGAATTGCCGGAAGGACATGGTTAAGCAAAAGTTCATCATATGCTTGACAAAAACGATGCTGTTAACGAGACTCGCAAGTGTGGTCTCATAGAAGAACGGACCAATGGCAAACGCTATCATTATTTGGCACCATACAGTGATCTTTTTAAGACTGCAGAGGTAATGGCTGTAGCGGGAACAGTTTCTTGATCAGTGATATCCTGCAATTTTGAGTATTTCCAGAACCTTGCAAAATGGAAATGGGCTTCACCGGACCACAGAATGTTCTCTAGCCATCTGGCTAGAGATGGTCCACTTCCATCTGGGCAAGAAATCATTGTGCAAACGATTCACTTGTTTCCAGGTCAGCAAGTAGCAACTTCTGCACACAAATTATCTTGCACTGATAACAGTGCAAGATGTTCCATAGAACATTACACACCGTGCAAATAGGAATATCCAACATTCGTCCAATTCTCCGTGCACTGCTGATTCTTGCATCACTGTTCATTTATTCTTGTAACATTGTGGCTTCATCTTCCGCTGCCGCCACCGTAACTGGCTTTCGTCCTCTACCTCATTTCACATCAAATAAACCGGTCTCTTTGAATTTATCTAATTTTCCACAAGCCGTAAGTGCTCATGGGGCCAGATTTTATGCCTTTTAATGTTCAGAACTTCCTGATAGCTGTTAATGCAGAGTCACCGTTCTGATAGAAAAGTTTCACGAGCAGAGCATGATCCTTCTTTGTAAGTCATGATGAAGCATTCATGTAAAGCATTATGCGTTCTGCATTTTTATCACAGCTATGTCTGTGTCAAGTCTTAGGAATGTGCATATCTCCACAACAGCCATGTGAACCCTGACAACACCATCTATCGATACATTTTGGAACTATTTTCTTTTCTTCACCAAACAAAATTCCATTGCCCCACGATTGTTCTAGTAAAATATCAAGTCCTTTTGACAGGTAGTTTTAAAGTTAGAGCGTTTTGAAATCGCAACTTTAATTATAATCACCCTGTCTACTTTCATTCTTGGCTAGATTTTATTTTTCCCATAAAAAAACCACAAAACAGTGAAGTTTTACAAAGTTTAGTTTAATATTATTTTCTGAAAATGCCAGTAATTTTTTTATTGCTTAGCCTATACATTATAGAGAGTTTTTTATGTTTTTGTTAGTTTGAGGTCAGATTTATGGTTGCTCATATGAATTTCATTGCTAGGCAGACATTTTCTGATGTACATTTGCATTTACACAAGTGCATTTAAGTTTGTAGTGAAGTTATACATTTGAAGTTTCTGAATTTGCTTTTTTGACTAAATTTGAAATCTTACGAAAATATATTGCTCCATCACACTATAGTCATATTAAAAGTATTTCTTATTTATGATAGCATACACAGAGGTTTTTTTATTACTGCATAATATGTTCTTGGCATAAAGAAAGTTTTAAATTTTCTATGGTGTGAGATTGGATGTTAAAATCAAATCTTATGTGAATATGAAAGGAAATTGTTTGCTACATTGTATTTTCTCTTATCAGCATTGTTTTGTAAATGTATGATGATGTCAAATTGCATTTTGAAATCCAATTTATTATTGCATGTTTAAGGTCAGATTTATAATTCCATTTATAAAATCAAATTTATAATTGCATTCATTGTTTAATCACTTTTTTCCGAAGTCTGGATCATTTAAGGCTAGCTGGAATGCTTGCTAGTACGAGATTATTTTTATATCAAGTTGTAAGGTATTTTCTTCCTCTTTCCTGCATGTCTTCGTGGTGTAATGAGAGCATGCATAGTGTGTATTCGAGAGGTGCAGGTTCGAGTCACGGACATTGCTCATTTCTTCACATCTCCTGGTTAAAATAATTTAATGACTTTGCAAGGTGATGGTCATTTTGTGATGGGAACGCTTTCATTATGGAAACATTTTCATATCATTTGATGGTCATTTTGAGTCTATTATAGTTGATTCTGTACTTTTTATCAGGTCATAAGTTTTATCGCATTTGAAGTAACTCCTATAAAAAGTTTAAAGTTTGAATTTGATTCCAGTATAAGAACACTTCCTATTTGCAAAGTAAGACTTTCCCTCCTTTATTTTTCTGCTTTTCCGGTTATGAAAAATCACATTTATGAAAATATAATCTCTGTTCTAAAGTATATTATCATAAGACTGTTTTTTTAGATGTGATTAAAAGGTAAGCTCTAAAGAATACTTGTAATCTATTAATAGTTACTTTTTAATTTATTAATAATTGTAATAAAATCCGAGTTTCTCAGTAAACAGTTTTGTATATATATTAAGAAGTGTCTATTTTTTTCAGGGTCCGAGATGTCAGGAGAACTCAAATACTTCTTCAGTTGGTGAATTATGGTTAGAATTCTTAAATTATTACAGAACATTTAATTGGGAAGCATATAATGTGTCAATTGTTGATAAACACCCTGTCTTGAAGAGTTCTAAATCTTGGAAATCCCCACTGATTGCTATTGAAGGTAATTTAATCAAATACAGTCAAAAGTCTTTAATTCGGACTCGTCGGGACTTCGGCAATTCTGGATTATCAATTTTTCCGGATTATAGATCATCAGTTTAAATCTGGTAAGATGGCATGCAGAAATTATAAAATTAAAAATATGAAACTGTAATTTATGAAATAAAGAACAATTATGGTCTAAAGGGTATCAAAATTAAAAAAAAAGCTTAATATTTATTTGTTTACTTTATTAAACATTTCTTTCAATATAAGTTGTTTAAGTTGCTTCGTTTTATGTGATAATACTTTCTCTTTAATTCTATAAACAGACATAATTTCATATTCAGTTACAAAGTTCTACTGTTGAAGTCCTATAATTGCTGTGTCGAGAATACCGACTAATTTGTCAATCGAAATTTTTTCGTTTTCAATAACCTCTGTGTCACTTTCTTCACTATTGGAAGCAAATTATAATGACAAGGAATTTGATTTAAATCATATGAAAGACGGAGTACATCGAGATGAAATGTAGTAAGGAATTATAAGCCAAATAAAATTAAAACATTTACCCTGAAGATAGGGATAGTGCTGACAGATCAACTTCCAATTCATTGCACACCATGATGTCCCCCCCTTTCCCCCCGCACAGCAGCGTGAAATTGATAAACAGATTTCGGAATGCTTAAAGAAACAAAGGTTATGCCTTTATCCATTTTTTGCAGCAATTCCACTTTTTGTTTGATGGACATCGAAACATACTTTTGCTTAGTAGATCCTTTGGCAGCTCCAGCATCGGAAATTCTGTTTAATATAATCGAAAGTTCAAGCTTACTTTTATAAAAGTGCCCTAACAGTCTGCAAAAAATAATAAGCTAGATCCAATTCAAAGATTAAGGAACAATGCAATCTGCAACATTAACTGAAATAGATAATTAGATAATTTTAGCTTAGCTTATACCATCCGTTATACATAAAACGCACATGCGTAAATGTATTATGCACATGCGCACACGCATATACACATGCGTAAAAGTATTACGTGCATGTGCATAGGCGTTTACACATGCACGTAATACTTGCGTTGACGTATGCGCAGAAAGTTTGTAGCTTTGAGGTCCAGATTATGGGTATCCGGATTAACGACTTTTGACTGTATATATTTCATATGTATATCTTGAGTTTAACATGCTGTCCAACTTTTTTTTTTTGTATCGTAGATATTGGTAAATGATTGTCAGTAGAATTTCTGCAGGGTTGGTGTTTACATTTTGTTAAATATATTTATTATTTTATATATTATACTAAGTCTAGAAAAGTCTTTATGTGGCTTTTATTTTCGTGATTGTTTAATGTAAACTTAATATTTATGTATATTTTATTTATTAATAATATTTATTAGAATAGTTAACATAATATGTAATACAGGAATGAATATTTGCACCATATACAACATTTTTCTAGATGTTTTAAGTGATGCAAATATTTATATCTTGGCATTTTTAAATATACAGAATTAATGTAAAAATTTTGGCATTTAATTTTTAATATGGTCTCTGTTTTTAAGACAGTTTTATACTTAATGATAAAACCACTCGGAGGCTCACGTTATTGAGGCCTTCAGAGGCTCATCTTCTTGGTGAGATTTTTGTCACATCCCATTAGCCCCAGTAATCTGTCTTACTTTCCTTTTCTTTGCTTCTGCTTTTTCCTTTTTCCTTTTCTCCCATTGTGATTTCCTTCTCGGAGGTTGGGGCTGCAGGTGAGAAAACTCTTACACTCCTTTGTTTCAGCTTCTAACTGAGAGTAAACTTCCTGCATGCTTGCCGTGCATGGAGACCCATAAGGCTGGAAAGGAGGGTCCTGGTACAATCACCAACACATTGCTCTGGCCTCTGCTTCAGTTTAAATGGGTAGTATATACTGGCCCTATATGGATCAGTCGGGTGGTCAAGATTGCTTTTGGCTTGGGGTTAAGCAATCAGAGCATCTGCTGGAAACCTCATTAAGGGTAGAGGTCTCTTCCAGGGATGCTCTGTGAGCGTATAGACATGACTAGCTTTGGTGCAGGTATTTGCATCCCCATGTTGGACTCAATGGCTGATTGTGGTACAGTTATGTCCGAAATAACTGTTATCTTTCTATATTATGACTACTTCAAATAATTGTATTTTTCAAACCAACCAACCGCATATTATGATAATTAATAAATCATCAGGTCAATGTGAAAATATACTTCCTCTCACAGACAGTGGAACCGCTGAAACAATGAAGAAACAGATGAAGGCCTTAACCTTCCTAAACATCTGCTTCCATGCTTAACTAAGAGTCAGCATCGTAAAAATAAGTCTCTGTGATTGAATCCAGCAATCAAGTTGGGTCGACATTTGTGTGTGGTAGTACTACAAAAAGCTTTGGGCTGCCTGAAGCCTTTTCTGTTTTAAATTAATAGATTTAATCAATAATGCGCAGAAGGAAACTTCTATTAATCCTGAATTAAGATGTACTGAAAACTAGATTCCTGGTTATGAATAACCTAAATGACGAATTGCTGAAAATGTCACCTTTTTTGGTAAACAAATGCATACTTACAGGGATAAGCAAACCAAAGAACATCAAGAAGCTTAGATCTGGTGATATACTTATAGAAACCACATCCCCCAAACAGGCAGTTGCACTTAAGCCTAGGAAGCACACATATAAAAGTCTACCCTCACCAGACATTAAATTTCCAACATGGTGTCATTTCAGAATCAGACTTAATAACTGTGATAGAGGATGAAATGATTGCTGAACTGAAAAACCGAGATGTGTGCTGAGTGCGAAGAATTCAGATACGCCGATATGAACAACTTGTAAACATGAGACATGTTATACTAACATTTAACACTCCGATTCTTCCCAAATCTATCAAAGCAGGATATCTAAATTGCCCATTGTGACCATGCATACTGAATCCAATGTGTTGTTTCCAATGGGCATTCTAAATTATCTTGTCATAGCAATCTTACGTGTGCCAGATGCTCAGAAGTGGGACATGACAGTAAAGGCTATGACAGTGAAACACCACTTTGCATCAACTGTCAGGGAGAGCACCGGGCATATTCTAGATCTTGTAAAAAATGGAAAGGGAGAAAGAAGTGCAGAACATAAATCTCACCAGAAACATATCCTACGCATAAAGAAAGAAGATAGTTGATAGTTCTCAACCTCAGCCCAACGTTTCGTATGCCAATGTCTTCAAGACTTTTTTTCGATCAGTTGGAACTCGAACATTATCTACTCTTCAACCTGAAAAAACTATAAAAAAAAAATCAAAGGGATATTCAAACATACAAAAGAGAAGCTGTAAAAAAACCGGATCTGCTTAAGCATAGAACTACAAAGAAAAAACAAAAAGTAATACAAAACCAATCAAAATCCAGAAATCCAAGCAACAGCTCATTTGACAGCATATGTGCTGTCAGAAATGTAAACAGATGAAGACCTTGACCTTCCGAGACATCTGCTTTCACACTTAACTAAGAGTCAGCATCGGAAAAACAAGTCTCTGTGATTAAGTCCAACAATTAAGTTGGTTCGACATTTGTGTGCTGTGATACTACAAAAAGCTTTGGGCTGCCTGAAGCCTTTTGTGTTTTTTCCTCAGAAATATTTGCCATCTATGATGCTCTAACATATATTTCTAGACAACACTGCAAGAAATACATCATCTATACAGATTTCAAAAGTGCCCTGATGTCAATGAAAACCTTCTATAATAACAACAACCCTATAGTTTGGGAAGAAACTAAGCTAGATCAAAGTTTGAAGGATCGGGATTTACTGCTGGGTACATGGACACGTTGAAATCAAGGGGAAGAAATTAGCTGATATTGCAGTTAAGTCACCTGTTGAAAGTGTACACCAGTCTATTCCCATTAGAGGTATTCAGAAGGTCATCAAAAGCAGCATGTTAGATAAATAGCATAAGTTATGGGAGTCTCAAGTGAACAATAAATTGACATGTGTAAAAGCCAGGGTGCAGTGTTGGGAATTGAATAGAAATCATGAGGAGGAAGTCCTCTTAACTTGCCTCCGTATTGGTCATTCAAGATTAACTCGTCAGTATTTAATGAATGGAGGAAATGAACCTATATGCAGTTCATGCAGTTCTTTTTTATCCATTGAACATATTTTAATTATTTGACCTCTTTTTAATCCTCTTAGGTTACTACTGTTTCATAAAACAAATCTTACATTGATAGATTTAATTGGGAAGCAACCCCATTTTTAATACCTTTAGGTTTTTAAAGGCTATCAAAATGTATTATCACATTTAAATTTTAACTGCATTTGGTCTTTTAACAGATACCAACTTCAGAAAAGTGTTTCCCACAAGAGAATAAAACTTTGCTCTCAAATTTCTACCATTTCTGTCCTTTTACATCCTTCCTTTTGTTTTATATTCAATTATGTCACCCAGTTACACTGTCCCCCCCATAGATATACTTTTGTGTGATTTTGGAATTGTTTCTGAGGATAATTTATTTCCACATTTATATTTATAACTTTATGCTTGGCGCATCATAATCGCTCAGTTATGCACCAAAACTTTCCACCACCACCACTCAAAGATAAAACACAGAAAGATTGACTCCAATATGAAGAAAATTGATTGAAGTAGTTAATTTCAATATTTGGGACTTTTGTATATCAATACTGACTTTTCTGGAGGAGTGAGGTGGTTAAAAAATAAATTAGAATAGTTCAAAATTAATTGTTTTTCCTGCAATGTCATTCAGTGATATTCTTTTGTAATTTACTAGTGTGTAACATTCTTTAATTTATAATTTTGTTACATGTGGTATGTTAAAAGCATTTACATTCAAATAATTGAAAAGTTTTCAGTTCCTAAAAATACATATTAATATTCTCATGCAGTTAAACATTCATAATTTAATGATTGTTGTAGAAGTTTAAGAAGTTATAAAATTGATTAAGGTGATAAAAATATTTTTCATTTTTAAATTCATGCAAATA